CTATCCTTAGTTCAGGTGTTGACGCAAACCAGTGCTAAAGCAAAAACTTGCATTTATATGGGGAGAAATGCAGAAGTGTACATACGGAGTACAAACATCAAACCATATTTAAAAAGTAGGACGTGGAAAAATTTAACGAGTACCTTTACACTAATTTCTTTAGGGATTTCTCGTGGCTTAATATGTGTATGCTTATTATTTAAGCTCACTATTGCTGTGAATTCAGAGTGGAACTACATGTTAGTAAATATAAATCTATCTTTCAGTAGTACTATAATATTCAAGTATTAATAAGCCTATTGATGAAAGAAAATTATGTTTGATCTGCCAAAAAATAGAACTGGGATGTCAGAAGGAAGAACACTTGGATGAATGCTACATAACTATGTAGTCTGCTGAAGATATTCTACCTTCCTTGAGTAAAACTAATACAACCAACTCAGTATTTAGATACATATTCTATGTCAGGTTATGAGACACAATATTCAAGATATTAACCTTAATAAGCTGCAAAACGTTGAGTCCTGTGAACTAAAGTTCTAAGTAGATAGAAGTGAGAGGTTAAAGAGAATGTTATAAATGAGGTGTACTCGATAATACCAGTGGAAAAAGCATATAACAAAATTAAACTTACAATGAGTAATGTAGTTTTGGTTTTGTTTGGTTGCAGTGTTTCCTGAAGAAATTTTGTATATTTTGAAGCCAGTTTATTCATCAATGAGTTATTTTTAGTCACAGAACTGTCGTCAAGCTGGTGATAACTAGAAAGTTGTTTTGTTTTTGAAATATATTATTATACCTCCCAAACCACGTGCATAGAATCATATTAAGCTTTCGCAGCAACCATTATATCATTTGAAATTTCACTGTCTGTTTTACTTCAACCTCAGTCAGTTTGTTATATAATGCATAACCTTCATTTGATTTGTCACCACTAAATTATTGTCTCACTTGTTGATTCAATTACCAAATTTTCTTATGTTTGCCATAAGACAAGAAAATCCTGAGTGGTAACTATTTGAAACTCCTTGGTTTTTAAAAGTTTTGTAGTTAAATTACACTGATATTTATCAATATTTGAACACATAGTGAGAAATCACACTTCTATAATTTCCGCAATTAAAATTTAAGTAATATCAAATTTACGTCCATCAGACTGTTCTGAACTTGTTTAGGGGAAATAATTGAATTCAACTGACTAATTGCCGGATGACATGTTGTAATTATTTCAATTTCTATGATTATGTAACTATTATTTTTACATTAAGGAGGAAGAATGTATGTGTAAAATCTCAGCGAATGAATTTGAAATAAATCCAACTTTTCATCTGGCTTTAAATCCATTCGCTGAGATTTTACAAATATATTATTCCTCCTTAATGTCTCACATCAACTTGGCGCCCTAATACTGTGAAATTATTCAATCAAATTTAGACGAAAGTCCTTATAATATTATTTTTACATCTAATTTTTCGTAGCTAATGTTAGTTTACGAATAACAGAGTCTTTAAACTGAACAATAACTATACTAAATTATCTTTTAACATAATATCATAACCGTATGAGATTGACAATATCAAAAATTCTTGATGACTGGAATTCCTTTTAGATTCATCGTTTATCAGTAAGTTGTATTCAAATTTTAAATGCTCAAATTTTGTAAGTTTGTTTTACTTCTCTTATTGATGTTACCTGTTTGTTGCATGTACTCAAAATTGATACATTTGTAGTGTCGGTTATTATGTTAAGCCCATATACCTTATTATAGCTTTCGGGCAGCCCATTCTATTCATCCTACTTGAGTCACATTCTGACCTTGTTAATTATTCGCTTATCAATCTTGACTGTTTTTATATGAACGCATAAGTGTATGTACATTTCTTATCCTATTACTCATCACATGTCTGTAACTTACTTTTGTGTAACTATAAATATTGATTAACGCTTCGTTAAATGGGAGTTGGCTTACTAGGCTTACGGCACTGCGCGTCGTTTTGCTTCTTTCTATTCCATTCACTTTATATACAAAATATATGTATTCAAAAGTCCATTCTCGTTATTTGACTTATCTAAATCCGTTATTGACTAATGCGATTAAAGTCGATGATTATATACGAGGATAGGCGACATATATATTTTGATAACAAACATTCTTACGATCTAATTGGAATCAGATCAACGGGTCACTAAAGTGGAAAGCCCTTTCAACAACATCGTAAGATTTAAATGACGACAAAATTAACGGGCCTCCACACATTCTACGACTGTAATCATGTACTATAAAGATTTTCATATTAAATGAAACTTATTCTTACTTATTTATACATGTATACTTTTTCTTATCAAGTCGAACATAGACAAAATATGTATTTATAATCAACTGTTGGTTTCCTAAAACAACTTATTGTGAAATGTTTATAATTCATATTTAAATCATAACTTTATCTTTGTCTTACAATAAGAGTTATGGAGATGATAGATAATTTCTTTATATTTTGTTTAAATTAACAAATATAACTTTGAGTTCTGACTGATAGCTTTGCCATTTTCTTCTTATAATTAAAGTATATTTAGTATCAGAAGGTGTTTTGTGGAGATTATAGTAATTTCAATAGTTGAGATCATGAGTTAAATGAAGCTAGACCATCATGGAAAACTTGAAAACACTGGACGGTTGTCCAGTGATCTAGCTTCAATTGATTCATGATCTCAACTACTAAAGTATTTTTTTTTTCGATTTTTAAGAAAATCTAGTCTCATATATTTATTTATAACCTAACATAGTTTCATAAAGTTCACTCACTAACTATAAATCATTATCTCTGAGCTATCAGATATTTAGACATGTAGATTCATATATTGACAGTTCAGTAAATTATGTACATGCTGTAAACAAAGGCATTTTCATATGTCAGTCATAAAATTTTGGTGAGTAAGCGTTTTAAGTTAATATAATAACAATAATAACTATTACTATAGTAAAATGGGTTTAATTCATTTAACCACTATTCGTTTGTATATATTTTTGTATAATTTATACATCATGCATTTGTTTATTTTCATTCACTTAACTAGTTAGATACATAGTATTATCAAATCTAATTAAATGTACATTTATTTTATTATGCAATTGTTTTGTCGCAAATAGTGGCCATGGTAAAGTGACTGATATGACGTATAGATAATTGTTATCCACATATTTTCATGATTATGTAATAATGATTGTACTTAAGTCAATAGGTCATAGTAATGATGACAATTATTTGATCAGAATTGAGTCACAAAGTTTGTGACTTTATTATCAATACACAATCAAACGATATTTATGTCTAAGCTTTTCGAAATATTGTTATATTTGATACATACAGATGTATATAATTTCAAATCTAGTCTCATTACATCAAAATATCAGTTAGAAAGTCATTAAATATTAGCATCTATTCTCTTGTTTAAAACATCATATCAGTAGTGATTCACAAGGTTTTGTTAAGCACATTATTTATACATCAGGATTTTGGTACAAACATCATTTTTAACTTCGTTATCCATCAGTAAGACTTTTACTCTCACTAAACTGATCCTATGGTGTAAGTAAACCTTTCAACTAGTTTGTGATATTGTTAGTTCAAAGAATTCGGATTCCTATTACGAAATAGCATAAATAAACCGATTAGATTGCGACAACTATTTAACGACTGATTGATTTTCCTAGTCACAATTGATTGATCACTGGGTGGTGATCAATGTCATGCTTGTCTAGTCCTTATTAGTGCAGATCGAATGCTATCGATCATGTTGCAATGTGGCCACCAGTCTGGGTGACTCGACACTGCGGGCACTATGTATTGAGATTTAGATGGTGGTTGGAGGTAGTCAATAGGAAACCCTGGATCCGGGTTTCGTGCAACATGGCACTCATCAACACGGTGTACCTGTAATCTTGAGGGGACTGGTGCTCCCTGGCGGATTCGATCTAGTGTCACCCAGCCTCACAGTCAGAGACGTTACCACTGAGCTATCCGAGCCGTGACTAACCTCCTGTAGGACTGAGATATAATCACAATTGATTGATCACTGGGTGGTGATCAATGTCAGCACCAGTTCCCTCAAGATTACAGGTACATCTTGCTGATGAGTGCCATGTAGCACGAAACCCGGGTCCAGGGTTTCCTGTTGACTACCTCCAACCAACATCTAAATGATTTTCATAGGTTTTTTTAAAAAACAACCACTCAGTACTGGTGTCTTGGAAATTTCAAAATTTTCATTTAAATAGCTAAACTGTAACTATTATTTGAATAAATTCAATTTCTAGTTAAATGCATTTACTTCCGTATGGAAGATATTGTGTGCAATCGACAAACTTTATTAAATATACTATAAATTTCATTATTTCTATAAAAGCTGAACCATTGTAGACGGTTATTAGGCAATCGTTGATACTTCTTACTTAAGAAAGTAACCTAATTATTTTAATATGAACTTATACTTTTAGCGTACGATTGAAAGTTTACTGTAAGTGAAATTTATAACGGTAAAAAGATTTCATACATATCATTTTTGAAATGATTTTATTTTGTCAATGAACTGGAAGTTATTCGTTTACATTTCTGATTCCTGAGCACTTGTGATATGGAGAGATATTTATCTACGATCATGAGTGGTAAACTGCCTTGTCCCCGAATCGAACATCCTCATATTGCTAAGGACACCTAATGCGACTATGGAAAATTCACTTAATCCTGTATGTCATGTGTTATTTACAGTGGGTAGTTTCAAACGAGGATAAAACAACAGTTCAGTGCTGTTCGATGTTTTGTATATTTTCAAATCACGTCAATTTATAGTGAATATTTCGTTTGAATCGCACAAAATGTCTATAAATCATATTGTAAAATGAGTTTTATTTATACTGAATTCGTTTAAGTAGTTTATAGTTTTAATATTGAAAGAATAGCTAACCATTGTTTTCTTTTTCTTTCTTTTTTATATATGAACAGTTTCGAGCAAATGTTACACTGAAATTGGGTCTTAGCACTGATTTTAGCACAGAATGCGATGATACTGTTTACAAAGTTGTGATATGCGCTGGAGAATTTACCAATCAGTAAGTCTGTTAAAAATGTTTATTCTCTCAGTTGTGTTATTTGTCAAACTTATAGCTTTTGTTATGGATAAGAATATTTAGTCTTACATTTTGATAAACAATAAAGTTTACTACATTTTAAAATAATCCATTAGATTTTATAAGATTATGATGTCCAGAAAGAGAAAAACAATGTGAGTTAAAAGGGTAGTTTAAGATTTACTGGAGAATTCGAAATAATGTTGTTTATTATGTTTATTTAATCAAGATGTTACTGATCTCTTTATAGAACCTTTTCCTTCTGTAGTTACTAGTCTTGTTTGAAATAGAAGAGAGGTAAGTGAAACAGTATGACTAAGAAAAATTCCAAGTAGAAATTAACAACTAAAAGCAATTTATTGACATCATATTTTCCCATTTTTTTTATACTTGTATCTCAGTGTTGATACTCACATATAGGATCGAACCCAGTACGTCTAAGTCACGACCGAAATTCAGAAAAGAATACCAATGATGGGATAATTCAAAATCTTATATGGGATGAGAGTATAAGACTTTTTGATTGAGGTCATGAACCGATTGATGTTAGACCACTATTGGAAAACTGGAAGCATCTGAAGCACCGCTCAGCCGGCATCCAACGGTGTTAATGTCTAACTTCAACCAATCCACGGAATCGCGCGACCATCTTCCATTTTACTGAAGTAGATATCTGTCTCTACCCGACACGGATTAGGTCCACTGGTCACGGCTTCTCACTAGAACTTCGAGAACTTCCTCACGAGGCCAGTCACTAGTGAGCATATGGTAATTATCCGTATGGGATTGTAGAGACTATTACGTTTTTGATTGAGACCATGAACGGATCGATGTTAGACCACCACTGAAAACCTGGAAGCACTGGACGGCGGTTTCGGCCTACTGTGGAGCTCCTCAGCAGTGTGTATCCAGTTGTTAATGAAATACGTGTTTCAATGCATTATCATCATGAACTAAATCGAATAATTCTTTTTGGCTAATTAGTTATTAAGGTTATTAAAGCTAAATAGGGATATGATTAATCAAATAAATGGCATCATTTGAAAATAGTGATTAGAGTTTGCCTGAAGTAAGTTTATAAATTTTTCTGTATATACGAAATTATGGTACATCAATGTTTGTCAGATCCTTCGACATAATGATTATCATCTATTTCATTGTGAGTTTAAAGCTAATTCAAATATTTGAAGATGATGATTTTAGACATGAGAACTATTAAAGACATTAAGCACTGAACAAGTGTGTCATCCTAGTTTGGAATTTGTCAGGAGTGGATATTCATTGGGTGCTAAATCAGCAACTTCAAGGTAGAAAGTATAACACAAAGCTTGGAAGTTTTTGGTTCGACTCCGTGTACTGATGAGATCCTTTGTACTAGAATTAAATGGTCATCTGACAATTTTTTTATGGCTGAAATCAGTCCACGATAAAAACTATCTTAACAATGGAAAATTTCCTCTTTATTATTCTCATTAGTTCTATATTTTAGTTTTGAATACAGTCATATAGAGAACAGTTATTTTCTAGTTCATTATCCACGTTCTGATCAAATGATGCATTATGTCAGTGTAAGGTTGTTTGGATAGGTTATTTTGTTAAGTTTAATAAGATGTATATATTCTTTTTTTATGAAAGAATAAATATGTTGGACAAATGGATATAATTCAATTCTTTCCCTTGAACTAAAATCCATTACTTTCAAGGTTAAAACTCTAAACTACCCAGTGATTTAGAACTATGTAAGTTATAATATTGATCATTACTGTGGTCAGTTGAATATACCTGAATATAATTCAACATTTAACTTTAAGAAAACATATCCGATTAAATATACCTAATAAGTTTAATGATGATAATAAATGGTTATTCTATTAAACCAAATACGTCAATTGTTTTTTGATTCATGATAAGATAATTCGTAAAATGTATTAAATATAATGTCTAAAACATTGTTCAATTCTTTTATACAGATGTCAATTAACTGGCCCGATTTCTCGTTTTACCCAAGCAACTTGTGCATTTCAAGGACCACCAGAGTCAATAAGTTTCTTAGTCTCATCTGTAGTAAGTTACTTTTTAATGAAAATAAAATAAAGAATTTTTATGATGTTCAATTCTTTTACATAAATTACCTTCAAACTATCTGAAAAATGTAATCGTGTTGTTAGTTTAAAATAATAAAAAATGATTGTTTATCATAACCCATCAATAGACAAGGTTTGTTTTCTTTATTAACTCACTATTAAAAAGGTCGAGTAGTCAAGCATCACTGAAACAAATCAAAACATTACATTATTTGAACCAAAGACAGTTTAGTGAAAGAGAACACAGGTGACAATATTGCGGGCCTGAAGCTGAGGTGCTAATTGGGGCGGTTTGGTGCGGAGAGGTGACATCGAATGGAGTCGTCTGAGGGGGTGGCGTTGGTTGTAGCGGGTGCAGTCGACGGAAAGGAGCGGTGGGATGTGCGACTGCTGGGCGGACATTGGATGTAGATGGCCTGGCAGGTCGACGGAGCTATGAAGGTCAGCGAGCCTCAGACTCGACGTTTTGATGAAGAGCATAGCACAGACTATAGGAAAGAATAAAGTTACACGGCAAGCAGAACCACCGCAAGAGTGAATGTTTAAAGGGAGGAAGAGTGGTGTGTGCTACTTATGTCAACATCAGTAGTATATAGCGATAGTCTGGATTATAATGTTTGGCAACAGAAGGTCGAGAAGGAAAGAACGGGAACAGAAAGTAATTCGTATGTAAATGCAGGAACAATGAATTCTGAGATGACTGAGTGGTATTTGCAAAGGGAACAGTGAAGTTTGAGACAATTGACTACTATTTTGCAAATTAAGTATTCACTGTATGGTTCTCAAATTTTATCAAAATGTTCAGTAATTTCGCGTTCGATTACATTCGATTGTCCCCCACTTATGTTCTCCTTCACTACAATATTTAGAATATTTTACCTGTAATGACTCAAACTAATATTTCTGAAGATTATTAATGACAAGTAAAATCTCGAACGAAACCTAGATTGAGGGTTTTCATTCATAGACTTCAAATATGGCAGCATCAAACAAAATAAAGTACAATACCAATTGATATAAACCACTCGCTTACACAACTTCAACAGTAAGTTACGCACAAATCAAATATTACTTTATAAATGGTAGGTTAAAAGTTATCCAATAACGTCAGTTTAATGTAATGTACTAAATGTGTTGTGTTCTTGGGATCTTTCCTTTTATTTTGTGTATATTGAAACCTACTGCTGCAAAGGTTGCTGTTACACTGACTGTCTTCATTTGCATTTGTTACTGGATATAGGATAGGAGAGCTAGATCATCCGAGAAGTACAAATCCTGAGATGGCAGACAATATGTTTAGTTCAGGTGGGTGATCGTGATGGAGTTTTGTACTCTGAGCTGGATGGTTTTCTCTAAACCAATCTAAGATCTAGCTTCCCTACACGACTTTTCAGTGTAGTCCATCACAAGAGTTCTATATAATATAATTCTAATTTGTAAATAATAAAGTTGAACTTAGTTGTTGTACTCTTGTTTATTTCATTTTTACAATTAATTTCAACTCGACTTAGGAGAATCCAATTGAATTAAAGGTTACAGTGCAAAAAGTCGGTGAACAGGAAATTCAACAACTTCGTAATACAGAATTTCGTTTAGCAGAAGAAAGTGAATTATCTGTCACATCATCAGATCTTTCATTGTAAGTTTTTTTATAATTTAGTAAAAGTATAGGCTGATGGATTTTCTAATCAATTTAAAGCTTTTAAACGTAAGTATATTAATCATGAACTTCTGTCAAAATGAAAGAGATTTGGAAGCTAGAGAATACTAAACGGGTATTTTGAATCGTTAATGATGAATGATATTAACCACACAAGGCATTACATTTAAGGATTTATCATATCACTGTCCGAGTCTGATACTGATGTGTGAGAACCAAGAGTGAATTGAATGTATTTACTGGCTAACCGAACTCGACAATATATATGCACAAATAACTCATAAATATATATCTTTCACAGAAAATTAAGTCAAGTTTCCCACCATTAATATATATTTGTTTCATTAGTAACTTAAGTAAAACCCATTAGCAGCTCTCACTTTTTATTTGGACCTGAAGTGATTTATCTGATTGTGGCAGTGTATTACACACGATAACTGGTAACATGCAAACATTACACTTTTCAAATAATAGTTTGTCAGTCGCTACTTATAATAATAATAAGTAAGGAAACATTTACTAATATTTACTATTAGCTGTTAATATAGCCAGGTAAACGTATTCGGTTATTCAAATATTTGTAATATTGATCAATGAAAATGACATTGCTATTGTGTATCAAAACTTTACATTAGTAACTATACAAGGTCATAAGGTCATGAAATTATAAATAAATATCAATGAACTCCTTAGTCATAGTTCCTAATGTGATTTAATGAGATAGTTAAAGCTTGACCATTAAATTATTATAGTCAAACAATTCACAACTATTTAATTTGTAAACTATTTAGCCTTTTGAGTATTGATATGATTTAATTTGAATGCTTTATTAGGCTTATCATATTTTGGACATTAATGTTTAATAAACACTGGAATGAATAAAAACAATATAAGTATATTGACACAAATAGATTTCAACAGTTGAGATCATGAGCCAATTAAAGCTGGAGTTCTAGTGAGAAGCAGTAACCAGTGGAGTTCAACCGAGTCAGTTGTGAGGTAGTAACACACTGATGACAATGGTGGGTTTGTCACTCAATTTCGTGGATTAGTTGAAGTTAGGCATTAACACCGTTGGATGTCGGCTCAGTGGTCTAGTTGGTTAAGCGCCTGGCACGAGACCGATAGGTCCTGGGTTCGAATCTCGCGGAGTGTGGGGTCGTGGATGTGCGATGCTGAGGAGTCCCATACTAGGACGAGACGGTCGTCCAGTGCTTCCAGGTTTCCCCTGGTAGTCTAGATTCAATTGACTCATGATTTCAATCAAAAACATATTAGGTAGTTGTGAACTTTTAGTCTAGAACTTTCAAGAAGTACGCACTTATGATAATGAAATAGATTGAAACCTTGGTCTTGAAGTCTTTCAGTAAATACAATAAATCTAGATTACTAATGTGAACTGTAACAGTCGATATCTTTAACTTTAGTTGGTATGCAGTATATTATAATTATCGTCCACATACAGTTGAGGTATCGTAAGTTCTAACATAGTTTTCAGTTTCTAGTGTTACACAATGACAATAATAAACTGGTGTAGAGATTTTGGTAAATTGTTTTTGAAAAAGTTGTATAATCTGATAAGAGTACACAGAAGGAAGATCTGTGGGCTTTTACATTTTTTTCTACTCCAATTTCTTGAAAGTATATATATATATATATATATATATATATATATATATGTACCTGCCTCGTTTTGATAGATTTGCTGTATTTTATTCTTGGTACATCATGCATAATGTTTATTGTTGGGCAACTATGTATTTCATTAAAGTAGGGACATTAATCTAAACTTTTTGTTCAATAGATGCTCATAGTTTACAGTGTTAAAATGTCAACGGTCTATTTTATTATTTAAGTATGAATATTCACTTTGTAAAATGGAATGTATTCAAAACTATTTACTTGTTATTGTTTCTTTGCCATTAAAAAACTAATGCAGGATAGTTCGTTTTCATGTCACATATTCATGTCTACCGAATTATTTCGGGAAGTTATGCAACAAATTCTGTAATGTTGAAGCTATAGAATATCAATGTGATCATCTAGGGAATATGTTATGCAAACCAGGTTAGTTACATTTTATCTATGATATAGAAAATTCAATCTATGTTTTTCTTAATAGTACTGTTATTGAAAATATTCTATGTATATATATACATGGAAACAAACCCATTTTAAAAATGTATATTAGATGTATTGAAATCATTCAACAGTAGTGTATACACAATGTGACTTGAAAGTTATGGTTTCAATTAATAGGGTAATATGAGTATGCACTATTACGAAGTTATGCAACCAAATCAAACAGCTAAACAAAGAAAGGCTGAAACTTTCTGAAATAATCTATGTAATGTCAAAGTTGTAGTGTGAACATTTTAAATCACTTAAAATAAGTTAGTGTATATTTCTAATATGATTTCATATTCATAATAAATCTGTCTTTTCTACACAGATAACTTAAGTCATTATTTTGTTAAATAATTTTTAGGTCAGTATGAAATAGTGCTCTTAGTTAATTATCAATTATAGTAGCTTACTAAGCATCTTTGCTCAAAGTTCCGATATGATTTATTGTTTCATATATTTTATGGTGTAGTAAAGTTATAAATTTATTTGCACAGACATAATGTGAAGAATACGGAGAAATCATCAAAGACGTGATGACATCAAGGTTTTGAATGTTACTTGACATAACACTGAGGAGATTTGTACATGACACAAATGAGGTATACTCTTCGCATCACGGGTATGGTGACAATGAATCACAATCAATCGATTCAGTTTGTTGCCTATAACAATGCAGATAAACATTGATGCATAGAGAAATATAAAATTCTTTTCCTTAATAATTTTTTATCATAAAAGGATTTAGAAAATAATGATTTTACTAACACCGTTGGATGCCGGCTCAGTGGTCTAGTGGTCAGGGACTCGAGCGCGAGACTGATCAGTCCTGGGTTCGAATCTTGTGAGGCGGGGTCGTGGATGTGCACTTCCGAGGAGTCCCACAATACTCTAGTGCTACCAGGTTTTCCATGGTGGTCTAGATTCAAATGACTCATGAATTCAACTATTAAATTTCTATAATATCCACAAAAACCATTCTCTGATTATAATCCTACAATCGCCAAATTCAACATTTAAAACATTGTCTGACCCTCATCACTGTAGACACGAAAATATGAAGTATTTTAGCTACCCGATAGTATTAGTTAACAGATGAGAATTTTGAATTTCGATTAGGTAGACAATCGCTTATTGGAATAGAAATATTTATTTATGTAAGTTATGTATCATGATATCAAGTGTGAAACTAATTCAAAAGAATAATGCAACGGGTGTATAACTTGATATTAATTTTAAACAGTTAAATATTGAAGAGTTAACATCTATAAGGATAAAGGATTTTTAAAGTAGAGTAAAGCGTAAAAATTCTCAAATAATCTATTGTTAAGGCAGTCACGATGAAATTTACTGATATACATAGTTCCTTTTATTATCTTAAAGAGAGCAAGAACAAAGATTGGTGCAGAATAATATGATTTCATTTTATTTCGTTAAGTTTTCATCAGCTTCTTACAACCTAAATTATTTGAAGATCAACGTTATTACAGATATTGACATACTTATATATGTGAGGGTGATTAAAGATAAACATCTGTATCATGATGTAGCGAAGATTTCAATGGAGTTCAATAAGGTCATTAAAAATTGTTTGTTTCGAATAAATAAAGTTTGTTAAGCAAAATTCCAGAGCACTGAATTAGTGGTTAGAACTCAGGGAATTAAAAACACATTAGATGATTATGTAATGAAGTAATCATTATTATTAATCTATTTTCAGTTACTTCATTATATAATCATCTAATGTGTTTTTCTAATTCCATGAGTTCTAATCACTAATTCAATGTTCTGGAACTTTCCTTCCCAAACTTTATTTATTCAAAATAAAATTTTATGACTGCATTAACTCGATCGGAATCTTCGCTAGATCATGATACATATATACATTCTTAATAACCCTCTTATGTATAAGGATGTCAATATCTGTAATGACGCTGATTTTAAAATATTATAGGTTGTAAGAAGCTGATGAGATCCTAACGAGATTTATTGATCCTACGTTCAATTTCAGATAGAGTTATGATGTTAATTTCTAAACAGTCTTAACATTCAACTCCTCAAAGATAAAACTATCTTTTAACTTTTTTGTTTTGTTTCAAATTCACCTTCTTTTTTTCTTTTAATTTTAGGTTATTACATGGATCAAAAATTTCAATTATGTCGATTAGATCAATGTATTCATCATAAAAATTATTGTTTAAATAATGGATTATGTATGAATAATCCAAATGTAGATACTATTAACTTACCATTATGTATATGTTCATCTAATTATAAAGGTTTACGTTGTGAATTAAAAAATCCAATTATTAGTAGTATAATATCAGAAAATTTAAATCATTCAATTCATCATAATAATTTATTAAATATGAATACAACTATGAATAATATAGAATATAAAACTAAAAATCAAAAATCAAAATTCATTCATTCTAATAATCAATCAATAATTTCAACACCATTTATTCCATTTATTCAATCTTCTTTCAATTCTATAACTACTAATAAATCATTAATCAGTAGTACAATATCACCAATTGTATCCTATTCAGAAATAGTTATACCAATAAACAATTCAAAAACTATTCATGAACAGGTTTGTATTTATTATTTATCAATATTATATTATTAATTTGCTATTCATTATTAATATTTAAAAAATGTCTAAGAAGTACCACTTTGAAGTTTGATTGTTGAAGTTAGGGCGTTAGTTACGATGACTTTGAATATTAAATGTATAAGAATTTGATGAGAATGTATTATCATGATTAATGGAAGCATCATCATCCTGTAATGATGAATTATGACTTTTTTGAATATGATAAACAATAAGTGTTTCTGAAAGGATAAAAAAGAATATAATCAATATTGACATGTAAAGAAATGTTAGTTTCATGGAAATAAAATAGTATTAAACATTACTGAAGTAGTTTGTTTTGTGCACTTCAAAGAAAAATTTGTAATGAAACTAATTAAAGTATCATATTGTTAGAGACTGTGTAGTGAACAGAACAGCAGTGAGAACAATCTAATGTATTTGGTACAAAATTACAGGACATGTTAATAAAATCTAACAATCATAAAGTAAATGCTTAATTTACAAAATGTCCATCAATTGTCTCAAAATGACCCAGACTTTATTGTTCTTGCATTTTCATACAAATTGCATCCTGTTTTGATTCTTTACTGTTCAATCCTCTTGTCTCTCTGTTGCCAGACATTCTGTTCACGACTAACATCATATACTACTTATATCAATATAAGTAGCACACATTACAACTGTAATATAATTTTGATGGAATTTTGTTCTTTGAGCTGGATGGTTTGGTCATTGTTTTTCTGAATGACATTATCAACATAAAATTGAAGTTTATTCGATGAATGATGAAAGCTTCATAACTAAACTATCCAGCTCAGAGGAAAAAATTCTATCAAAATCATCCACATGAGCTATAAATCTTCACTATAACACAATGATTATTAACTTATTATATACTAACTTAATAAGAATCACTTGTTACTAGAAGGTGGAAAGTATTTTTCTTTTTCAATAAGTTATAATACGAATGTTCAAACGATAATTATATAAATATGTTATTCGATCGTGAATATTGTTATATTTAAATCATCAATGCTGATGGAGGAATTTTGATGAAGAAATATAACCGAGCTATAAATTTTAATCATTCAGTACCTAAATGAAAGTTGATTTTTCTTGAATATATTGTTACAAACATTGTGTATCACATATAATAGGTAAAGGATTATAAGGCTTTCGAGAATAAGAACTAGTAGAAAGTGAATTACTCTTTCAGAGACAATACTTTAACCATTGAGCTTTCATCAACAGTATGTAAACATTTTTGTGTACATAAAAAGTTTGTTATCTGTATCCTATAACATAATGTGCTTAGATTGTTATTTGATACTCAGGTGCCTATTTGCTATCACAGTGAACAATTTAACTTTTTTATTGAAATCTCAATGGTATCTTTTTTGAACCAAGTTAATTAAATGAAGTAATGTAAGTCAGTCACTCAGTTACAATGTACGACCAGGCATATATATGCATCGGTCCAAGTTGCCACACCTCTTTAGCACGATGTAAGTCAGTGTCAAAGTACAAATCATGTACTTGGCTTTTAACCATACTTCATACAACAGATTAAACAATAATACTCAGTTATTGATAATGAATTAGATAAAGTATTATGTTGAATGATTTATAGTTTAATTATGAAATCATTACTAATTTAGAATTATTTACAAATAAACACTGATTGTTATCTGAGTCATAAGTTTTATTGAAAAACAAATCTAAATTAAACATAATAATAAAACATATGAACGGTTATAAAATAAATAACAATGATCATCTATAAAGAACAATCAAATTATAATTTTCAATCCAATGGATTCTTTATAAAGTGTAATTTCATAATTATAATACAAGTATAATGATAGTCAATTCTCGAAGAATGATACACTAAATTAAGTTTTGTTACTACGTAAATGATTTATACCAGTGAATTTCACTGAATAATGTTTCTGTATATTACTAATACTAAGTAAACATGATTTTCATATTCTCATCCCTTTTCCATGTACATATATATGGTTAAATCTCTCTCTCTCTCTAATAAATAGGTTCCATACAGTTTCCATGTGATATATTAACGATCGATAGTAGACAATGTTTATAATGTAACCGATTTATGTTTAAAATAAATAAATATTCAAGATGAGAATGTTTATTAAAAATAAGTGTACTATTTTGGTTTCATGTATTATCATTCTAATTTAATATAATTTGTAAAGATGATATTTAGTATGAATAATGTAAAGTGTAATTAAATTATAGGTAATTTGGCAATTAACTATTTGACCATATTAGTTGTGTAAGTTCAATTAAACTATCAAATCACAAGTACATGTAAATGAGCGTGTATGTAAATACATTTAAACCATTGAGATTAGTTACTAGTCTATACACGATTTAAAGAATAAATATATAGACATAAGTAATGTGATGTTCTACTAGGTAGAAAAAAAAGATTTTCAGTTATGACAATTATATTTAATCTAATTATAAATGTACAGATATCATAAACCAACTCAAGTTAGACATCCATTAAAAACCTGGAAGCACTGGATGATCGTTTCATCTTAGCATGGGATCACTCACAAATGCACATCCACGGTAGCACACATGTTGAGTGTGAAGCAATCACTCAATGAAGACATTCAACGATAACTAAATGGAACCGTTAGTTGATTTACGTGTAAATATCATTCAAATGTTGATGTATTGGATTAGGCATCAATGATTTACTCGAAAGGATCATAGATGTGCAAACCTGAGGAGTCCTTTACTAGGACGAAACAATTTTCCACTGCTTTCTGCTTTTCAAGTGATTTCTAATTAGACTTGATTCGGGATATAAATAAAACTCAATGACCTTCATAAACCTTACTAGTGATAATCATGAAGTATTGTGAAGCATTTGTTTACATATTCTAATTCCATATACATATAATTTAAACACGAATTAAAACAACAGTAGACCGAGGGAATTAGTTATTTCTTCACTATTTACATTAAGTGATAAAGTTAAACCGGTCATTCTAACAAAATTATGAGTATAGATTAGTTATTAGAAACGTAATTAGAAATATTTTGTTTTCGATAGAATCCTATTCTAGAGTTTAGTCATATAATTCAACATTAAACTGAGTGCATAACTAAATGAAGTATGTGTGATGTATAAAGTTAGTTTTAGTCTTATTATCTTTAACTTTCTGATCTTAATTTTCTAAGTAGCTTTATATTTTTTATTCGTTTAAGTATATTTTTTAAAATAGAAATATGCTGCCTAGTTTCATAGTTTTCTACTGACCGAATTCTGTTGACAGAACTCTAAGATGACGTTCGTCATATTTTAAGTACCAAGTGGTTATTCTTAAAGTTAGAGTAAACCGTTTGATTATTATACATGAAATTCATTTTGTGAGCAATGGATATTTCAGAAACTTTTATTTAAAATATTCACAGTTCAATTCATGATTCGATCTAAGCTAGAATACCATTAAAAACCTAGAAGTACTGGATGACCGTTAGGTTCTAGAATGGGACTCCTTAACAGTGCACATCCATGATTCGTCACATGGGACTCGAATTCTGGGCCTTCAGTAAAAGTTTGCTGAAAATCTTAGACCTCTAACCATAAAACAGAAAATTTTCATCTTCCTTTATTTGTTCGTGAGAGATGATAATCTATAAATAATTAGGTAGAGAATAAAGGCTATAATTTCAAAGTCGCTTTTCACAAGTAGCACTGATTTCATTATATAACGTCAAATACAACAAGCAATCATAAATACATCTGTAACTTTATGAAGTAAGCATCAATCACATTTACCAATTTATTTATACTTTTACAGTCCCATATATAAGTAGAACTAGAAAGAAGACAGCTGAATCACGAGATTGGAAAGGAACAAAAATCTTGACAAGTGTAATGACCAGTCACTGGTTGTTTACGAATATGATGTTAATATAATTAAGACTTATCAAAACATTCAATAGAGGAGCGTAATAAAAGAATTCACCTAGGAAGTTTGTTGTTCTACAAAATGTTTGTCTACCATTTTATCGTTTACCCAACTTTGTTCCACCATGTTCAGCTTAATTTAAATTGTAATGTTTTATGATACAGTTATTTATTTATTTGCAAGCTTAATCTCACTGATTATTTATTGCTATAGTACGTTACTTTTAATCATAGTGTGTTATATCATTTTTATTTTACACCACTCACAGCTTTCTTTGTAGTTCTATCATTAAACGTAAGAAAAACTTATTTCTAGTCTTATCAATCATTATATATCTAAGTTACTTGTTGCTAAAAGAATTTCTTGAAACGGATGTAGTTCCATTTTTACCCCTCGAACCTTATTTTTTCTTTTTCTATTCACAGTTCATGAAGTCATTCAGACAAATATTACATCAAAGCACATAATTAAAATTTTTCTTTAATTTGGTTGGTTCAATTTTTTAAAAATTAGAAAGAAAAATTAAACAACTAATCAAAGAAAAAATATGTTAATTGGTTGAATTGTATGTTGATTCATGAATCAAGATTTTCATGTTACTACTATTTCTGCGCACTGCTGAGGAGTCATACATTGGGACGAAACGGTCGTTCACAGCCTCCAGGTTTTAAATGGTGATCTAGATTAGAACGACTCATGAATTTAACTATTAAAATAAAATGTGTCTACCGCAGGCATCGTGTAAACTACACACACATTTTTGTGCGTATTTTGGCGATTAGGTTTAGTTTTCATTTCACAATCCAGCAAAATTTTAGCTTTTAAATTGAAAACATGGTCATTGACAATTAGTTTTGTCATAACTGTATTCAATTCTTAGATATCTCACTAATATATAGTTTGTATGATGTCATATTTTGATATTGATGAATGAGACTGATTATCTTCCTAAATGAATTGATTTCTACTTTCTTTTTTATTTTATTAGAACTGGAGAAAACTTATCATCATATCGTCTATTGGTTTAATTCTCATCATAACTATAAGTACAGGATGTATTGGATTAGTTTTATGCTTAATGCGTCGTAAACCTAAAATGGATAAAAAGTAAGTAATCGTTAAGTTATTTAATTTATGAACAAAACTGTAATCATTAAGATTATACGTGAATATGTTAAGTTATTCATTTGAAGCTACTTCAAAAAAAAAGTTCTTATGACAGTAAAGATATCCTTTATCCCTAGTGTCAATTCAAAAATGAGAAGGGGTGTTGTGAAGATTTTAGAAAATTCACTGATTGAAATCATGAGTCATTTGAAGCTAGACCACCATGGGAAACTCGGAAGTACTGGACGACCGTCTCGTTCTAGTATGGGACTTCTCAGCAGTGCGCATCCATGATCCCTCACCCCGCGAGATTCAAACCCGAAGCCTGTCGGCCTCGCACCAGGCGCTTAACCAACTAGATCACTGAGCCAGCATTCAAAAATGTTAATGTCAAACTACAACTAATCCATGAAGTTGCGCCACCATACACCATTGTCTTCATAAATGGTTAAAGTATAAATTTACAGTAAATGATTCTATTTGTTCACCCAAATGCATATTTTCTCATTATTCAATATTTTATTTGAATAAATTATAAGGACTGAAAAAAAAACTGCCGTTACTCCCAACAGTAGTATTTTTACTTAATTGTCGAATGGATACAAGAAATAAACTTTTTCTAATCCATAATTGTAGATTATCCTTTACAGAATTTCATTCAAATTGAAATATTTTGTAATGATATAGAGGATGATGAATAAATGACGAATGGTCAAATAGTGCAGAACAGTCTAGGTTACAAATAATGTTTATTGTATATGATTAATGATAGTTGTATGAAATAAAAAAAACATCATTTTCAAATTGTTATAATTATCAACTAGTATCTTTGATGGGTTACAACAAATCTACAATGAATGTTACTCAGTTCTCCGAAATTTTGAAGCGTACGTGATAATTTTCATGGAAGATAAACTTATTAAAAAAAATGATTTTGTTTTCACGAACCCTAAAATGTAAACTATCGTAAACTTCTTGAAAGCTTTTCAGTAGAATCCGTATTGTTTATCATATGTCATAGAAATTATTCATTTTCAGAGTTTAGCGATATAATGACTACATCTTTCTGAATTAGAGTAACGTTTTAGGAGCAGTATATATAATGGAGGAAAGTGTATGAAAGACTAGATAACAAAAATTAAGGTCAGAACATACTTATAGAAAAATCCAGACTAAATAGAGTGATGTTAGATGATCAAAGATTAAATAACTATGATAAGTTAAATGTGTAAACTTGTGGTGTGGCATCGAGTCGCGTTTCACTATGAACACCGCTACAAGGAGGTTGAGTACCAAATATCAGAAGGTAATCGAAGGTTGTAGCTAAGTATATTTGTTTGTGATCTCGTAGTATCAAAAGAATACCGAGATCGTACCAGAGGAGTACAAGCGGATTTACTGAGCAAACGTAAGTTCGTACAAGGTCACAACCAACGGAAGGAAGAATAGAAGAATAATGGATGTCTTTAGTACAGTTAAACAAACAAGTACAGTAAAACAATCACTGGTACAACTGGTTATAATAATAATTGTTTCCATTAAACCAATCGCGTTCTCTTTATAAAAGTAGGTCACTACAAACTATTCAGAATAAACTTAAGTAAACATTTATATAAAAGCCAAGAAAACTCTATTGTCATAATCGTGAAAACGTTATGAAATGTAGATAATTATTATGTACACATATGTTTTAAATTTCATGAACAAAATTATTTCTTAAACGGTGTAAAATCTTCTTTGTACCATGTTAATGATTAATGTTTATTGTCTTAATTTTCTATAATAGATCTAATATTTCCAGTATAATTACACACGATTCAAGTTGTAATTATAAATCGGCTAGACAATGGACATCAGTTGATCAATCACCAACTGATCTAAATTATTACGATAGTTCTGATTGTAGAATAATTCCAGGAAATACAAATAGTGGTATTATGGAAACAGGTGCTGCTTATCCAACACCATTTAACGAATCCTTATTACAGACAAGCACAAATATAGATAGAAATTATGGTTTGTTTGACTTTTCATCTACACAGAACTATTATCAAAATCAATATCCGGGGCCATATCATCAAGAAAAACAACATGAACAACAGCGCGAGCAACAACTTTATCGACATTCTTCTATTGGTACAACAGGATATCGTAGTGAAATGGTAACTGAAAATGGGTTTACTACAATTCCAAAAGATTTATATTTATCTAATCGTTATATGACATGGAATCCTACAGCAAAACAACCACCATGTTATGTAACATCAGTGAAACAATTATCATTGGACAAAAGAAATTATGCTGAAAATTTTGAAGAAGATTATAATGGTCGATCAATGATTAACTTAAACTCCTATCGTTCAAATGACCCATATAAAATAAATGAACATTCAAGGTTTCCTATAAATTTGGATAATTCTATTATTACCAATAATAATGATACTAATAATGACAATAATTCTAGATATCTACAACCTTCATATAACCCTTTGTTATCATCAATTCATGATAGTTACATAACCAGTGGATATTTTGATCAGTCATCTAATATGGAAAATGATTACACTAACCAAAATGATAATTGTGCAATAAATGATAATAATAATAATAATTATCTATTATATAAAACAGTACAAGATACAATTAATTTAAATTCTAATAATTACAATCAAATTCATATAAATTCATCTAATAAATTACCTACTATATCAATTACATCATCATTATCAACAAAAGCTTCACCTCTAGTACAAGCTGTTCCATTATCCCCAGCTCCACCTACACAATTTTCCGACTTAAATTATTATTAAATATTATTGATATGACAAATGAAACAATGTTTAATGTTATAAAATGAGAAATGAATGAAATTGTACATGATAACTGTATTTATTATTATGTTATTTGTCAATCAATGAGTTACATCATTTTACTACTTAGCAACTTATTGATTATTTCATTTGTTCTTACTTACTTAATCATTTTCTTTTTGGTATATTTTAAGTTGATCATATTTCTGTTCAGAATTTCATTGGATAGTTATTTTAACATTCATAATAATTTTGTGTATATTAGTCAACATTAGTTAGTAGGGATATTTATTATGAAGTACTTAATACATCACAATGCTTTATAATATATGTGTTAACAACAGAATTCAATAAAAGAGTTTCTGGGTTGTTTTTTTTTCTTATCGAAGACTCTTCATTTGAATATACTTCTTTGACAATGTTGTTCTTATGTATGAGAACTTATTTAGTAAACATCAATAAAAATTTTCTATAGAATTTTAAACAAATATCGTTTAGTGATGTGATGATAGGATTTTTGGTCACATAGTCGAAATGACTTAGCTTAAAGGTTATTTGTTATATTTACCATCTTAAAACAAAATTCAGTTTATAAACTACCATAACAATGTAAGCAGTGATGGATAGTGGCTAGCAGTGGAATCCAGGACACGCGTTTCGTCCCATTTGGGACTCCAGCTGATGAGTCCCAAACAGGACGAAACGCGCGTCCTGGATTCCACTGCTAGCCACTATCCATCATTGCTTACAAATAGCTTGTGAATAAAGGTAATATCGAGGCATACGCACAGTATGCACATATGCCAATAACAGACTGATCAGTTGCACTTTTAAACCTCACTGGGAAGATACAAGCCAAACAATACCAAGTGAATTACCATAAAAATGGTTGGTAAATTTATCACATGTATGGGTGATTCTGAAGAAAGATTCCTACAAGAAGAGACAACAACTGGAGAATCACTGAAAACACGAAAAAAAGGCAAGAAAATTTTTTTTTGGTATACCACTCTTCAACTGTGTGGATTTATAAAGTTATATAAGATCTAACCATGATTATTTAGATCTTTATCTGAGTAAAATCCTTTCAGATCACTCACCCAGAATTATATCATTTGTATTTTCAAGTGTTGTTAGTTTTTGATCAGGGACGATCATTTAATGTCGGCAACTATATCATTACTAACATACATAGTTAACTTCATAGACTATGGTTTCTCACTAAAACTTTTAAAAATTAATTTTGATATTTGTCAGTAGTGAATATAGAGTTATCTTCAATATCCATCCCTATTTTTACTCTGAATATGTGATTTATTCAATAATTTATTGAATAATAATAAAGCTAAGTACTAATGATGATCTTCTGAAGAATAAATTCACATATGATTAATAAAGCAAAAATGTGGTTAATGAAGATTCTTTTTTCATAATCTCACCAGGATTACAGATCTGAAATGTGTATGTGTAATTAGTTTTTACACAAGTAAATATAGCCTTAACATACTTCATTATTGCTAGCTGTTCTATTTAATTCTTTGAATACTTACATAATTACTTACGCTTGTTACTCCCAGTGGAACATAGGCCGCCGACCAGCATTCTCCAACCAACTTTGTTTTGGGCCTTTCCTTTTAGTTCTATCCAATTCTTGTTCAATTTTCTCATGTCTATCTCCATTTTCCAGCGTAATGTGTTCTTTGGTCTTCCTCTTTTCTTTTGGCCTTGAGGATTTCAAGCGAGGGCTTGCCTTGTGACGCAGTTGGGTGCTTTCCTCGATGTGTGTCCTATCCACTTCCAGCGCTTCTTCTTGATTTCTTCCTCCGCTGGGATCTGGTTTGTTCTCTCCCACAGTACGTTGTTGCTAATAGTGTCCGGCCAACGGATCTGAAGTATTTTGCGTAGACAACTGTTAATAAACACTTGTATCTTCTGGATGATGGCTTTTGTAGTTCTCCAGGTTTCCGCCCCATACAGTAGAATTGTCTTGACATTTGTATTGAAGATCCTGACCTTGGTGTTGGTTGACAGCTGTTTTGAGTTCCAGATGTAAATATGCTGCTCTTGCTTGACCGATCAGGACTTTCACATCTGCATCAGACCCACCACGTTCATCAATAATGCTGCCCAGATATGTAAAGGTTTGAAAATCTTCCAAAGCTTCCCCGTTAAGTTTGATTCGATTGTTGCATGTTGTGGTGTATCGGAGAATCTTAATTTTCTATTTATGTATGTTGAGACCTACTGCTGATAAGGCAGCTGCGACATTGATCGTTTTCTCCTGCATTTGTTGTTGCGTTTGGGATAGAACAGCCAGATCATCAGCGAAGTCCAGCTGTATCCTAGCTGTCCACTGTATCCCATGCTTCTTCCCAGATGTTGACGTCATGGTGATCCAGTCGATCACCGGGAGAAAGAGAGAGGGTGAGAGTAAGCAACCTTGTCTTACACCGGTCTTTACCTCGAACGAGTATGTCAGCTGTCCTCTATGCACAATTTTCCAGTTTAATCCATCATAATGCTTTTAATAAGCTTACATTAATTGTCTATTTTGCTGAATATTAAAGTGATTACAAATATAAACTGTACACAGAGTGTTTAATGCTAAAATCATGGATCTTACAAATTGTTAAAGTTTATTTGTTTTTCAAATTCATTTGATTTCTTGTCATAAAAAGTTTACAATCTCTGCAATTAGCATTAAAACTATCTCTAAAGCAATAGATACAAAATTATTTGTTATTAACAATACTACTAAAGATCTATCTACTAGATCTATATAATATGGTACCAAAATATCCATTCTTCAAGGTTTAATGAATTTCAGTTTTACACCAAAACGTTTATATCAAAACTAATTTCAACATATTCCGTGTAATTCATACAATCAAATGAAAAGCGTTGAATTCACTCATTTTCCACATTATAAGTCAACCTAGCTTGATATTATTTAGCTGATTTTTTTTCTGAAGGTTAATTTATTTTGAAGAAATAATATCTACTGAAGGAGCTTGAAATACCGTAAAACAGTGGATTATTGAGCTGTTCTAATTAAGAATTCTAGGTCTCATGTCTAGCACGATTCAATAATCCTCATTTTTTAATGATTTCCGAGATAAAATGTGTATATCCAGAAATGTGTATTGAAATCAAACTTATCTACACGGAATACACATTTAAATAACAATTGCAGAAATTAGTGTGGACTATTAGTCTATCAGCTATAAAATCCAGAGGCTCAAAGTTCAACTTTTCATAAGCTTTTTGTTGTGGAAATATTAAAGTAAAGAGTATAAGTAGGGCTTCAACGAGAAACGATATTTATATAATATTAATTCATTAAAAATTCAGATAATAGCTACTATCTTCGAAATGTATAGTGTTTATAAAACTTCTCCTTAAACAAGAGTACTTTGGCCATCAAAATAGAAGTCATCCAGGAGTTACTACTGGACCTCATTTTCCAGCATATGATTTAGTTAACACAGGCAACTCTAAAAAATAACTTATAAAACTTATTTTCAACTGGAATTCTTCCTAAATTTCTTTCATTTATACAAATTTAGTTGTATAGCTTACTAGAATAAAGTGGGTTCCATCTGAGAGGAATCTTTTAACAAACAGTTACAAACTCTTGAACGTTATGTTGTAATATAGGCTGATATACTGTTGGTAAGCATAGTTTATCGAACCCATTTTTCAGGTTTTCGAAAGAATCATAAACCGAATAACATCAGATTATCAAAACCAAGTTTATGTTTGTAGAAAAAGCGAAGTAGTTTTAGAGATTAAACTATCTTATATGTAATTCGAAGGAGAACCTAATAGATGTAATAAACTGGAAATGGCCGACCTTCTAGAAGCTGACTCGGTTCTCTGTATATCAGCTAATTAAATTCAAAAATGTAATGCTAGAACAGTAGGAAATTCTTCCTTAAGAATATATATTTTTTGAAATTAAATTTCATTACAGTATTATTAGATCGTCACTAAGTTTCAGAGTACTTGATGATATTAGAATGATAGAAATTCTATAATTTATAACATTACTAATCTTAATATCCCATCAATTATTGCAATGCATAATACAGACCGATGTTCAAACCTTCTTTATTTGCATGCTGTTTTAAATTCGAAGCTAACCTTAATTTTGATGTTAACTGCAACATAGGCTACCGTCAGTTATTTAAAATTATAATAAATAATGAATATCTCAAGTTACACTTTCCTAATGTATGGATTTATATGTCAATTTGATAGATCACATTTTGAAGTTTTGGACCAAAAGTTAATTGAGTCGTTTACCGCATGTCGAAGCATTTAATTTCAATTTAAAATAATGAAAGAAACATAGATACAAGGTATCAGTTCCTAGTACTTTAATCATATACTATTTTTTCCCATATAATGATAATAGATGCCTATCTAACCAATTGATCATGATAACAGTGGCCCACATGAATATTTAGACCACTTACTTTCTAACTGTGCAAACAATACAAATTAACCCACCTATTTTAGATTTGTATCAGAAGGAGTTTCGTGGATATTATAGTACTTTTAATTGTTGAGATCATGAGTTAATGAAAGATAAACCACCATGAGAAACTTGAAAGCACTGGGTGGCTGTTTTATCCTATTGTGGGACTCCTCAGCAATGCGCATCCACCGTTCCGCCTCGCGAGATTCGAACCCAGGGACTATCGGTCTCGCGCGCGTACACTTGACCTTTAGACCACTGAGCCGGCATCTAACGGTGTTAATGTCTATCTTCAACTAACTCACGAAATTGAGGAATGTCACAAGAGGACGAAATGACCGTACAATTCTCCCAGGTTTTCCATGATGGATTAGCTTCAATCGGCTCATGATCTCAACTATTAAAATTATTTTAAATTTGCTTGAACAAATAAACTTTGGATGCTAAATGTATGTGCTTATAAAAGGACTTAAAAAATTATTGCGAAACTAAGTTCTGGAAAACTCGAACCAAAAAACTATAATTCTTGATATTTTTTCTTAATTATCTATCATTTGATAAATAGGGACAAATACATTGTAATTCAACTATCTTATACACGATAGATTGGTAAATACCTTTAGTATTTGAAGTGGTAGAAAAGTTTAATAACCGTCTTAATTATATATCAATCTATATCTTTAATGATTAAAATTTAAGTTCAGGCTTAAAAAAGATTTGTTTCTATATTGAACACTCAGTGCTAAAAATTCTATACTTTTAAACAGTTTATAATATTGAATATAACTAGTATTATTATTTTCACTCATGTTATTATTATTATTATTTAATAGAATGACGAAGAAACACCAAAACAGATTCTGTCTCCAAGGCAACTTTAACTGTTCCTAATATTAATAAGAAGGAATATATATATTTGATAATGTATGTACATAAACAATGTTCCCTTTTCTTTCAAGTTCAATCATACTTTAGAATCTTTGTAAGTGAATAATAACAAAAAGATTATCTTGATCGTTTCAAATAAATCAAACATTTAATAGACGGTTACTAATAAAATTAATATTCCAATGAGTTGAAAAATTTAATTTCCTATATATATATTTATAAGCAAAGATGAATAGTGGCTATCAGTGGAATCTAAGACGCGCGTTTCGTCTTATTTTGAACTCATCAGCTAGACGTATCTGCATCTCAGAGTTGATGTTCACTCTGGGACTTGAACCAAATACCGTTCGCTTCAAATTTCATCACGTTATTCACTTAGCTATTAAGTCCTGATAGCTAGTGATAGCCAATATCCATTTTTGTTTATAATGCTTGTGAATTAAGATAATATCGAGGTATGCCCATATGCTAATAAGAGACTGGTCAATTGCAGTCCTAAACGTCAATGGGAAGATTCAAGTAAACAATACCAAGTGAATGTATATATTGATTTGTCTACAATAACTAATGATTCGACTATCTAACACTACAATCAATATGATTACCTATTAGTTAAGATATATTCATACAATTTAATTAGATTGTCTATTAGAAGTTTCTTTGATTTTACTAATTTCATTTCATTAAAATTATTCAAGAAGAACTAGGATCTTTGTGAGATTTTTGATCAAAATAAAACGTATATTTTTATATTTTCTGTTTGAAAGAACAATCAAACTATACATTCGTTTATTTTGAGTTTTTTATCATTGGGATTACTGATAATTGAATACGTCTGTTAGCGGGACATAGACTGAATTAAAGCATACTCAATGCATGATTACTTCGGTGCACGCTGATTGGTTAATTCTTGTCCAATCAGCACTAGTCGATAGTTGGAGAATACTCTAGAATCTTCTCATGTAAAAACTATAAATATAATAACATTTTCTCTATTGTGCTTCTTACTTGCATCTTACTTCCCTCTAACCTTGTTATTTGGAATATAGTCTCTTTCCTGTTTAGTCGTGTTCTGATTTGGGGTCTTGTCGAGTGATTGGTGTCCAAGAATATTAAGCAATAGGTATAGCTGGGTCATACCGTAAGAAAAGAGATTATAACAACGTCAAATGAACAAACATTAACAAATACTTGCATATTCATCTCTTTAATCAGGATCATAGTAACCTGTTTTGATAATTACTCGATAAAATCCTAAAGATATAAATGAATGTTTTCATGGTATTAAGAATATCATCTAGTTGTAATAACATATTGTATATCATTCATTATGAATGAATAGGTTCAATGTTAAATGTGAATAGTTTGTTTTCTATTATTCTAAACATAATTCAAATGTTAGCTAATGAGTTAAATGACTGTACAAAATTATTAATGATATAATAATCAACATCATAAACACATTTACAATCATAATATTGTCTATATAAATTAAACATAGTTAATAATGGAAGAAAAATTTAATCACCATCTTTAATTAATTTGTCAAATATTTGTACTCCAGGAAATGTATAAGGTAATGCTATATCAATACCATCCATTACTCGTTGAGTACTTCTATAGCTAAACTTAAAATTGAATTTAAAAAAAAACACAAAACAAATAAATGATATTATCAGAAGGGGTTTTGTAGAGATTTTAAAAATTTCACTGATTGAAATCATGAGTCAATAGAAGTTAGATCACCATGGAAAACCTAGAAGCACTGGACGGCCATTCCGTCCAGATGTGGGACTCCTCAGCAGTGCGTATCCACGATCCCGCTCCTCGCGAAATTCGAATCCAGGACCAACTAGACCACTGAGCCGGCATTCATCGGTGTTAATATCTAACCTCAATCAATCTACGAAGTTGCGCCACCGTAAACCATTTTCTTCAGTTAGCTGATATCTCACAACAAATCTGGTTAAATATTAACATTGATCGTGGACGAGCACTGCTGAGGAGTCCCATACTAAGACGAAACGGTCGTCCAGTCCTTCCAGGTTTTCCATGGTGGTCTAGCTTCAGTTGACTCATGATTTAAATCAATGAAATAAATGATACTTTATTAGATTTTTATTGAAAAAAACTAACTAATGAAATAAAAACATTTTGTATTACTGATATGAATCATAAGTATGAAAATGAATAGTTTGAAATCAGTTAGACTTGAAGAATAAAACAAATCATGATAAATAAGTATTTGATATGTGAACTAAGATTTGGTATTCCTTACATCATCGACTGATTTCAACTATAAGAGCATTGAAAACTAAGAAAAAATAAATCGACAACGGTTTAGTCTTAGTATAGAATCACTCAGCAATGGGGATTCATGACCATATTTGGGATCGAACTCAAAACTTTCAGTTCTCACAGTGAGTGGTTAGTCTCTAAATCACTGAGCCTGGATTCTATAATAAATATATCTAACTAACATCAGCTTAAGATATTGACCGACATCGTTGAATTCTACTGCTTCCTAGTTTTTAAATGTTGTCAACATAAGATCAATCCGTGATGTAAACTGTGGGAATTCAAGAATATGCACAATTTCCATTTAATAAAGTTTATTAGTTAAAATGAAGCAATAATAGAAACATGTGAAGACGATCGGTTGGAATACAAATAACTAATTGAATGGCATAGTGAAAAAATATTTTCCTTATTTCAGGGATAATTAAAGGTATGTTCAAAACAATTTTAAAAGATTTGGAAATTCGAATAGCGAATTCATTAGTTTTCTAAAATATTCAACTTAGTGGAAGAGGATTGTAGAAATTTCGGAATTTACTGATAATCCTCTGCTTACTAACTTTAAAGAACTCTGGAGTTCTATTGAGAAACCGTGACCGGTGTAGTTCAATCCTTGTCGAATGTGAGATAGTAATCCATCCCAGGTAACATATGAGAATTACACAATATCATGAATTATTTGAAGTCAGACATTAACACTGTTGGGTCCCACCTCAGTTTTCTAGAGATTGAGCGTTTGAACCTAAGACAGAGGGTTCTGGGTTTGATTCCCAAGTGTGAGGTTGTGGATGTGCACCACAATAGGATGTTATACATGTGGCGTCACCTATGATTGCAATAATAAATTTACATGTACCTGCAATAGCAGGCGCATAATAAAGACAGAGATTAGGGTCTTTACAAGGTTTTCTGAATACATTCCAAGGAACCTACGGCAGAAAAGAAATAAGGTTTTAACAAGTACAATCGCCAGACATCATTTGAATGATAGATACGAAGCAGATGTAAGTAAAGCATTAAAAATAATGTTCAGACAAATAAAAAAAACATCCTTCCTACTCCTTTCGGCAGAGGCAATCGTTGTCAAACGTTTCTGACCTGACTTATGTATACAAAATGAAAATGCGATTAACCATTTCCTTCCATGGTGATTGAAGGTTCATCTTATAACCATTATCAATTCTGACTTCTAATCCTTTTATTTCAACCCTGTCTCAAATTCTTTTATTTTTATTATTCTTTCGTCATCTGATATTCATCTGTTACATAATCTGATTGATCTCTACATGTCTGTTTATTTTGTCATGTTGAGTGATTACTCAACCACTTATTAATTTCAATACAGTTACATAACCTCTGAAATATTACTTTCCAGTACATCGAGCTTAAATATGTTTATGCATATACTTTGTATCCTTATTCTACTTATTATTATGATTTCAGTAACATTTCGCACATTTATCTAAAATCCATAAACTAAAGCATGTTAAGCATCAAATGATGAGGAGAGTTATTCATATCAAGTATTGGATGTAAGGGGATATTCTTCTTATGAACATTTTGGAGCAGAAACCAATGGTCTAAGATGTTCATAGAGGTTATAGTTCGTGCTAAACTGATCTTCATCCTTCCTTAGGATGCTAAGCACTTATTATTAATGGTATTAATTATTATAATTTTAGTTTGTATGAAACGGGAGAGAAGCTTTTATAAAGAATGAATTCATTTTCTTCTTCGAACCTTCAAATCTTTTTTTCTTTTTATTCTGATACTGTTTACAAAATTTCAGTAGATGAGCAGGATAATAAAAATAAACATATAGAGAAATTGGCCTTACTTGTCCAGATCTTGGGTGATAAAATTGAGCTCCTATTCTTGAGAGTAGTTCATCCACAAGGACCTTTGTAAGCTTTGGATGGCTTTTAAATGTACTAAAAGTTAACATAAAATTCATTAATCAGATAACTATAATTTATAGTGTTATGGATAAATATGTACATGTAAGAGTAGTTTTACAATAGTAGTCGACATGCATCACTAATCAGTAATTGAAATTTTAAAAAAATCTGTATATTGAGAATGTAATGGTCTGGTGACACAGATAAGCTACTGGAATTTATGAACTTTCATTTTATAATCACTAATGGGAATAGATTATAAGTATCTTTTTAATTGAATTTAAACTAGAAAATATCTATACGAGATTGATCGATCTTAGTCCTTCAATTTTGAAATAGTTTCCATCATGATCTGGCATCAGTTGAAGTCAATGAAAAATACTGAGCACCCGACAATTGCTCAGTCTATGTTTTAGGTTTAGAAATTCATACATTTCAGCAAATTAATTGAAGTTGGAGATGTAAAACACCGTGTATTGATTTGGTGGTTTAAAGGTTGGGCGCTTTCTATGAGTCTTACAGGTGTCGGTTTTGATCTCTGGAAGGGTTGTTGATGAAAATGACTAAGGAGTCTTATATTAGAACAAAGTAGCTTCCCAATGCTACTTAACTGATTATTATTTTGACGTTTAAGAGTAAAGGTAGTAATATATAATTATTGATTACAATAGTAGATTATATTGCATTGAAAAGGATTTAACATATCTACCTTGAATTAGTCAGAGTTTTATTTGATTCATATTGTTTTCTGTGTTTTTCCACTTCAGTATTAATTTTTGTTTGCATAATATCATTCAATTTCTGGAAACAAAGTAAAGATGGAAAATATTTAACATAAATAAAAAGAATATTTTAATAGATTACTTAAACCATGATAGAGGTAGGTGCATTTGTCACCTGTCAAACAAGGAAGTAGTAAGAATGCATTAGAAGTACAAATGAATCATTCAGAGTTATCTATAATGGTAATAAGACTGTCGATGACAATGCCTATTCACTTTTTCTTCATTTCAACAATCTGTCAAAGATATTATAACTTTTTAATTATATTTGAAAATGATGATTATTTAGCTTTTTCTGTTACCGCGGTCATCATTATTAGTTCTACAAATCAATCACCTCTTTTATGCTCTTTTAATCTGTTACCTGAAATCGGATGGTTTCTATGATCTTTCTGATTAGAATGTTTATTAGACTCAACCTTACATTTTATACAATCTGTTTTCTTGTATTTTTGTTTCTTTGCTATTCTTTTCATCGAATAATGATGACGTATAATCCTGTGATAGATGTTTTACTGGGAAAAACATATTTCCATATTCATACGTTGATGAATAAAATGGTCGACTAGAAATCGGTTTATAAATCATAAGGAATGAGCAAAGTAACAGTTGATTGATTTTTCTAATCAATCATAGAATTATGTAATAACATATGCAAAGGTAATCGCCTAAATGTTTCGTAATTAAGCTAATGTAAATTGTGTCAAATCCCTGTTTAGTTATGTTGTATAGTATGAAATGTACAGTGATAAAGTATTGTTTATTAGTTAGTATCATTGTATCACGTATCACAAATACTTAAATTTGAATTAAGTAAAACTTCATTGACACTTTCCGAGGCTTTATACTAAAATATAACACTAACATCATTTTGATATTCAGTCAGTATTTCCTTGTTACACATACTTATAGAGTCGATTAACTTTATGCCATAAGGTCTTTATGAGAGTGTTTAATTCAAAATAGTTACATATAATATTATATGAATTTCCTTTTTGTGTGTTTCAAATTTAAAAAAAGGTGAAGGAATCTTAGAAAGTATGAAACATTCCAAAATTTATGAAATAAATTGATGTATAAGCTGGTACCGAATCTTATCTTTAAATTCAACGTTTTCGTTTGTTATTTTTGACAAAGTTTCTTTGGTCATACAACTTTATTTCGATAAACCTATAACTTAGTTCAAAGCAATTTAGTGCAATAATCCAAATTAAAGACATGTTTAAGAGCACAGGCTACTGATTTGGTTAACTCCAACAACCTGTTCGTCACAGAGTATATTTGCTAGGTAAGGTATTACAGAACTTTTATACTTTTGCTTGAGTGCATGGGTTTAATGTAGTTACGTCTCGTTCTTCCAGAAGATATACAAGGAGAAAGATATGAGTGAAGGGAATGGTTAGTATCTGATAAGATAACACCTGTCAGGAGTTTGCAACAGTTTAGATGTCTATCCACGGCCATAATAATAATAATAATAATAATAATAATAATAATAATAATAATAATAATAATAAAGATTCACCACACGCCTTGCTAACTGCTTTGAACACTCTCCGCAATACAACAAAATCTCTTCTCAAAAGCCCAGGAAAGAACAATGGAGAACAGTAATGAATAATATGTAATATGCAAGAATTGGCAAATTGTAAGAGTAAATGACGAGTAATCCCAAAAGCATGCAGTCAGATGGAAAACTTTCTTCGATAAAAGTAAAACACGAGAAGACCAAGAGAAAACAGTGGAAAAAGTAACACCAAGATAATTGACCTTCGACACCGTATTTATCAAAGAGTCTCTAATGGCACAAACATTATGGGGTCTGAAAAAATTTTTTGGATGCCTTTGGGTGAAATAAGCATTATATTTAGTAAGAAATCAATTCATCAAATAAATAAACAAATAATTAAATTTTGTATTACCTTCTACTTACTTTTATAAAAGTAGCATCGGCAACTATTTTTTCTAATTGATCACGATTTTCAACTACATTTAATGGTACAATTGATTATGAAAACAAAATGGAATTATAGTTTTAAGTTATGCAAATGTCAAAACAAAAATATGTTATTGATGTATGGGCTAGAATGATAATGATTAGATCTCTGCTTAGTCGGACATGTAGATAGTCCGACAGATGTCAGATGAGTTATATATTCCCCTATCCCTATTATTATTACTCACTTATTATTGATTGTTCATTGTTGTTGGATTGTGTCGTGTTTTTGATGTGGAACACATTTACGTTGTGGTCAGGCTAATCACGTGTTCTTGATCTGAGTTGTGTTGAAGTCCTGTAGAATAGACACTGGGAAAGAATCTAGTGTAGATGTTCGTCTAAGGTAAATTAACGTCCCATACGTGTAAACGTGGAAACCCGACTGTTATAACATTAGACGAAGTAAAACCAAGCGTTATAACAGTTATGACTTGTTGTCTATGGTTAGAGATGAAGAAAGTAAATACATATACTTCTAAATGTATATGCATTTACTAATCAACAACCAAATTTTACACATTATCGATACTCAAATTATATTAAACAATACTTGAACATTACTTCATGATTTTTACGATAAAGAGATTTGAAGAGAAAAACGTTTCAACGAGAAATTAGTCTTTATTACAGACTAATATCAAACTGAAAATCGTTGAGGATCAGGTAATCAATGAATAACTGCTTTGTATTGGTTTGTGACTATACACATGATCGACAGGAACTTTAAGTATTGTGGTAAAAACAAAGCCCATAGACCATTGAGATAGGATTGAATGAACATTCTGCAGCTTAAATAAAAGCTTACCTTAAAGTGAGTAATTTTAGAAGCACATAGTTCAGTGGTAGAAATAATCAGATACTGAGTAGTAAGTAGCTTCTAAATAGGCTACAAAAGTTCTGAGGAGTAACTGTATACTGGTTACTTATTGTCCGGCTGATATTAGTTAGAGATATAATTGAACTGGATATTATCTTTTTATCAGGATCCACATTTTATAAGCAGAATTTTAAAGAGTTAGTTGTGTGACTTAATGACCACTAACATAACAACAACATTTATTTTAGAGTGTAAACGTTTCTGATCTTCCTGTTTTTATGCATTACTTTCAAGGTATAGGTGGACATTTCAAGATTTATAATATTAGTTTCAACAAGTATCAGAATTCTAATAAAAAATATACTACTTGTGATATCCCGATTAGTAGAAAATTGTATTTCTGACATTTCGTGACTTAATGTAAGCTACTTCTTTAGTGCAAAGAAATAACCGAAATCAGAAGTATAAATTTGTTCTTTTATAATATTGATAACTGATGTTAACAGCACTTTGAGTTTACTTGTAGTCTACTCTAACGAGCTTCATCAGATACTCTTGTTAAATGTAAACATTGTGTATCATGATATTGGTAATGGTTTTTATTTCTCAATTGTAGATGTTAAGGACTGCAAATGATCAATCACTTAAAACATATATACACCGTTAGCGGACCACCTTGATATTGACTTTTCAGTCAGTCAGTAACAACGTAGAACTTCGTACGTAAGTACATCAGTTCGAGTTTCCATGCCACATTATGTTGACTTTTATTTATAATCAGAATTTGGCTAACATCTGAGTCCACGACACATTACTTAGACATTATATCTTACAGTATACTTGGTACTAAATCATTTTTAATATATATTTATTTCGAGATCGATTATCGTTTAGTCAGTTCAGCATACAGGAAATATTGGGAATCGAATTAGTCAGTACTCTTATATTTTTTGCATGAAGTATGTTGATTTAGCTGCTGCTCAAAATGTGAGTGCCACTTTATTGCTAACAGTTAAATTATTCTAGACAGTTTTAGCTCCATTTTCATAAGAATAAATTTCCTGTTTATACATATCAAAGTTAATTCAAAAATCCAGTAGAATGTCTTGGATGAATTAGGTGTTGAATGCTACTACCGTTTCTCTTTAACATGTAGTGAGCATGAGCTATTCCAAAAACATCTGTGGATTCCAATAGTTTAAGTGAGATTGAGGTTTGATTTCACTCAGGCTTCATTAGTCTTTGCAAGCGCAATTTTCTTGCTTATTCTGTCATATAGGTAAACAGAAATAGATAATAAGTGAATAGTTGTGAGATTTGAACTGTGAAGAATTTTTTTAAACAAATATAATCTTGCATATAAGTAGTGTGTTTGATTTTACTATAAATCAATGAGTTGATCTGTTTTTCAAACTCTAAATAAATCAAAGAACTGATGATCCTTTGGATAGTTCCCAAAAACCTTGATTTATGATCACACGGATTTGTAAAAAAAACGGTTCAATAAATGAAGATTTATACTCTGACATTATTAAACAACGTCATCTTATCAAGTATCAACTGTTTTTACAGAAGTAGTAAACTGTCTCCAAATAAATGAAGCAGAACCTAATCACTGGAAGTTAAATATTGTGACTCAGTTTTTCACTAAAAACTCGTTTGATTTCTAAGAAGAGAATTTTACTAATGATCTAGAATCGGTGCGGAAAAGATTTTAACTGATATATCTTTTAATTTTTACATTCTTATATTATTTGAAGGAATCGACCATTATGTTTAGCCCTATTGACCTAAGCTGATAAAACGAGATAGATTAGTATGATACTGTGGTATTCAAACATCAAATGTCAATAACTTCTTGGCAATAGTTATATTTGAAAACTTTAATAATCGAAATTATACTACTCTTATTACCTGTTTTATGAGTGAACTTCCACCATTTACGCAGTTCATTGACTACATTACTTCCTTGGATTAAATTAAAGCTATTTTGCTGGCATTTATTTGAATTAAATGTTGACAACTTTGAACTGTCCATAATCACACCAGGAGGAGGTAATTGATGTAACCAGCTTCTTAACCGAGTCAATAATATTCGGATTGTATGAGGTAGTAATGCTTCTTGAGGACTTTCATAATCCAAATAGGCTGGTTGACGAGAAAATATTTTAGCATTGTTTGAAGGACGCCATCGTTTGGCTGGATCAGGTGAACGTGGAAAGTATAAGCCACATAGAGCGCTTGAAGAAACGGGAGAATCGCTTGGTTTAAACATTGCAGGAAGTGTTGAATACTATATATTATGGAAAGAGTTAGAAAAGAATGTCGATTAATTAAATTGATGTTTACAACATAATTATGTTACTGAGTTTTACACAGCTGTTTCTCTCTATCTCACACCACAGGAAACACAGTATCTTCACTCAGTTTCAGCAGTGAGCTTCCACATCATTTCTAAATTGGTTGACTTCAAAGATTGTGGTTTCTCATCATAAATTCTATCTTTGAGTATCTTAACAATGAGAAACACAAAACGATATAAAGCTTGTTCCCAAAATCCATGTAGAAGTATGATGTCAATTTTACTTATCCCAATTATATTTAATTGTGGATTTACAATATCTTTCAAATTAGGTTCCAAATAAATCTGACTTAGCTATCACAATAACACTGAACAAGTAAAATGTGTGGTTTAATCGCAGAATACACTTATGTATGCAGATAGAAATTTGTCTTCAGCATTGTTTTCTCTTATTTACTAATTAAATTTTAGGAATAAATCGTTTAGTCCTAACCTGTACTAACTGAAATAGTTTATTGTTCTCAATTCTCTAGTAAAATCTGCCATATTTAACTGGCTCGAATGGATAATTTTGATTATTGAATGCAAATTATCACGATTTGAGTGTTTTTTTTAGAGTACTTCATTCCCATTTAGGTTGAGATGTTTGTGGGTATCAGATATACAGCAGGAGAAAAGTTTATTAGGCAATTAACAGTTTATGAGAATGAAACAATTATCAGTGATACACATCCCAAATTGAATGGTTTTTATTTGAAATGCTTGTGCAAAAAGAGAGGAATATCAGAGTGACTAACAACATTGTCATAATCACAAATGTCTGTTTCTTAAAGTATTAAGTATCTATTAGTATGGGCAAGGTATTGGCTGTGTATCTGAGTCTATCATTCATGTCCAGTTATTGAGAGTTATATGCAGTGACGACATGATCATTTTTTTATCAAAAGCACATATTAATATATCGTTATTGATGAGTGGAGCCGATTATTCCATCGTTTGATGGAAAATCAGATAAGGAACATCCGTTCTTTACTGATTTTTAGAGTTGTGATCATTGTCGGAATTGACTTTGTGTATACAACTGATAGGAAGACATTCATCACGCAAGACGTCTCCAGTGTGTATGAATAAGTGTTTAAGCAATTAACATATCCATGCCTATTCAGAATTTATCACTGATCTCGCCTAATAGGCAGTTTCGCAATATATGTACCAAATATAATTAGGCTTGGGTGCAAATAACAGACGTAACATGATAAAGTCTGTAACCTTACGTGCCACTTCATTACAAAGCTTGATTAGATGGACTTAGCTAACCGTTTTTCAAATATAAGTATTATCGTTATTTATAATCAACACATGTGCATGATAGTTATCTGTCTTAACTGTAATGCCACCTAGAATTATGCTTGACTAACAAAAACACTCAAATACTTTAGGTGAATAGTCTAAATTACAAACTTGATTACTATATTCCAGATGACTGAATACATAATAATAGTGTTTGAGAATTTTCCTTTCATTAATTAAGCAGCGGAAGGTAATACAAGATTACATATCACTTTCATTATAAAGTTTGTTAATTGTTTATATTTTTCAATGAGATCATGAACCGATTAATTTTAGACTACCATTAAGAACCTGTAAGCAACGGACGGCCGTTTCGTCCTAGTATAGAACTCCTCAGCAGTGGTGAGTTGATATAGATTAGTTCATGATTTCAATGAAATTCAACAAGCTCTACAGCCCCAAACTGAACGTTATCTATATCTTTAGATGAAATTTAGTTTTAATTTTATTATTAAAACACTGAAAGTAAATCTGAATCGTACTAGATCACTGTGATATCCTTCTCATTATTAACGCATAATAATAAAAGGCATCTATTTATATCTTATAAATCTGCTTCCTTATGAAAATCTATAGTTCATATTCTCTAATAGCATTTGTTTATAAATTTCATTGACATAATTTCTTACTGATATAGATTACTTGTTAGCCTATTTAAATACGCTTCACATTTCATATCATGAAGTGGATTCGAACTACATTATTTATACTTTTGATATAACGTCATATGATTTCATATATCAGTTGTTGTCATCTAATTTATCTGTTTATTCAGTTTTTCCATAAAAGATTGATTGACATAGCTATTTGAGGCGAATTAAACTAGTCATTTCAAAATGATTGAACTAGACTATTTAGTTGGATACATATTTCGGAAGTATTTTGCCTGTTATTGTTACACTCACAAGCCAAAGCATTTTTTTATAACTAAGTAATAATTTGTAACGATTTATAATACTATAATTAATAGATCTACACTGTTCCAGAGCTAAATCAAGGTGTCTTTGAGCTAAGTAAACCTTTCTGGGTGTGATTGGCCTTGAAAATGTCCTTTACATTGATTCAACTGAGATTTTATTCTAGGTTTAAGAAGCAAACACCAGAATCAAGCACATAAGTAGTTCTCAGGTGGTAGAGAAATCTAAAATTCGAACTATCACCCCGATTCTGCTGACAACGTGTCAACCTTTCTATTATGAAGAGGTTTAAACAGTCGCGATTATGATGAACGGTTTTTGAATTGTTAAAGTAAATGCTCAGAATGAAGTATAATAGATAAACTAAATAGTACTATGTGACCGAATGATGAATGATCATGAGACTCGATCATAGGCATGAATCCTTGGATTAACTGAGATCAAAGACAACAACACTAGCCAAATGAATGAAAATATTCAACACAAGAATTAAGTCAGTCGGAAGATAAAAATAAATTAGAAAATATTCAACGTTTAAAATACTCGAGTGCTGATGAAACTAAGACTTAATTATTAGGCTTAACTTTGATCCAAAATATCACTTGTTTACTTTATGAATGAGTATTGTCTCAAATTAAAATTCATGAATTTAATCTCAAAAAATGTATAATTCTTACACGTTTAGAATTATGTAATAATTTTGTAATACGTGAGAATAGTTGACGACGAGCACGACCATGACACATGATTAAGAATTCTTCAAATCGTTTTTGAAGTCTATTAAATAAATAATTAAAAGGGTTGAATACTTGTCGCTGTTCTAAAATAAACATTGAGTAATCAATATGCTATTCAAACGATTAGAAAATAAATGAGCTAGTGATAAGTAATGATAAGTCTAAAATATGGATATGAAGGAATGGCTGTATAGGTTTCTACTTCTATAAAATAATTGAATATTTTATATTTAACTATAGTAGACTCAACATTAACCAAACTAGTCATATTTCTTTTATGAATGTAATATTCCTAGAAAAAGCAAGTTTATGAAAAAAAAAGTCCAAAAGTGATATCATTTTCTTCGAAAGGGGGAGATCAATAGTTTATTTTTATTTGTTTATGAGTATCGTCACACATAATGGCAAAAATACTAAGTTGATATGAAGAAAAATATCAAATTTTGAGTATCACAGACAAAACCAAACCGTCACGAAATGACAACTGCAATCACATATTACTATGTGAACATTCTAGTTACGTGTTCTTATGGTAAACTACAAAAAAATATAAGTTCTAGGATCTTTATATTCTTTAAAGAAGAACCAATTTCTCATTTTATTTCTTTTAAAATAAAATAGATTTCAACAAAAGTGTATTGGAAGACCATGACGTTCAAACCCATCAATGTAACTTATATTAATATGTGAGAAGCTTGCTGTTTTGTTATCATAACATGCTATCATCACCTTGTTACAAACATTATTAGCTATGTGTCATTAAAACAGAAATTACATCAGAATATTGAGTTATTAAGTCATAATGTCCATGATGTATTGTTCGATTGGTCGACTTGCTTATACTACAATGTTTACAACTGTGTTATCACTCTGGGTGTTATTTTATACTTAGTTTAAATGTTTAACACTCATATAACATTTCACTCAAAGAGTTTAAAAAAATGTCCTACTCAGTAGGACTTCATTGATCTACAAGAGAGAATTTAGCGATTCTTTGATTTTTACCCAGATAGCCTTAAATGATACTTTTTACATTTCTTTATAGGACATAACATCTCAACAAATAAAGAATGATTTGCCTCTTTTTATATTTTGTGACACATTCATTTAAATCTTCAATAGTTAAATCCACCGTTGAACACCTAAGCCTAAATGCTGTTTTTAATTTAGACATTCAGTAGTTTAAACAAGTCAAATGGTAAAAAGGTATTTAAAAATCGATAGTTGACATTCACTTTAGTACCCGTCGTTAGTATTACTGAGTTAAACTGTAATATGTGGTCTATGCTTTGATGTATGAATGTTTTAAATTGTAATGCTTGGTGTTTAGTGAATCGAATTATACGGAAGTGTTCTAAGAATTTCCTCTATGTAATTCAATAAGGTGACAAGGAGGAAATGCCAATCTTCCCCACTTGATAACTCTTAATCTAAAGTTTCATACATTGAGCTCTACAATTACTGATTTTACATACAAAACGCCTTGGGACAAATTTATAAGATATCTATTTGATGACAGATTTATAACTTACTGTTTAAGAATTAGTTTTTCACCAAACTCAGTAGAAACATCGAGGAATAGTGACGGAATTGCATGTCCGGGATTACTTATCTTTGTACATAAAAAATGAAACATTAAAATAATTGTATTCGGCATAATTCTGAAACTTTAACGGTTAAACAAAATTGTTATCGACTTCTATAATTTTGGAAGTACATTGTAAATAAAAGTAGATGAAGCTGAGTTCGTATGATCAGAGATATTTTCTTAGTATTCTAGTAGCAATGGTTGACTCAATTACAAAAACCTGTCTGGTTGCGTAGTGAACGAACAGTCATATGTGGAAGATTAATTTATTGTTTAATGCACAACCACACAGTAGTTTAATAATATGTGAAAATCATATATCAAATACGTCATTAGCACATCTTCTTAGATTGTCTCTTACACGCTTCAATGTTAGTTCATTCCTGTTGTTATCATGGGTGTTTTCAGTTTCCTTCTCCTTTCTATTTATCTAAATCTTCTCAACCTTCTGCTTGCAGACATTCCACCTACGACCGATGTGCATACTACATATATGCAAATATAAGTAGTATACACAACCGTAGTAATTTAAACTTAAATCTCAGTATATCTACATTCCTCTTAGTATTCATGCTCACCAATCCCCCTCGTATATACTAACCGCCTATTTTATTTTGTGCTATGAGAACATTTAAATAAAGATTGCACCGTCATAGATAATAACCTAGAGAACATTTTGAGTTCTCTTTTAATATTTTTTATTTATTTACTAAAAGTAGTATCTAAAAGAAGTTGAATTTTCTGTGAAGTGCAGTTAAGTGATAGGGATAATAGTAAACATTTTATATAAATCATCAGAGACTGATATCACCTGTACTACTATTTCAAACAGGAAAGAATTCAAGGCGTGCATAGTGTTCAATCGCTACACTATAGCACTGTACGATCATAAGCTCACAAAAAATTGTGACCAAGTTCTTTAAGCTCTACAGTAGACCCTACACAACTTGAGTACTTAGTCAAAATACCAATGGTCATCATTGTCTAGCCTAATTAATAAGTGCTGTGTTATCTTGAAGTTTTCCAAGTTTTTGATTAAAACCTTACCCCCATTAAAATTACTGCTTCGGTTATTAGGCAATTATTCACTGATTATATTATCTTTTAATAGATTTTCATTTCTAGGCTGTAAATCATCAGAAAATTTATTCTAATTAGTTCCTAACAAACCACCTCACTCTAATCAGTCACAAAATAAATAGTGACTTGTAAATTCTGCTAAAAGCCTTCTAAACTTAGCAACTAATCATATTCTCTTTAATCAGAAAAGATTGTCCCATTAACAAATCGACAAAGACCATAGGAACTGATTGGGAGTTTTCAACTGACATATATACTTATATTAAAAAACTTCATTTCCTTAATCTGACATAAACAAAACTAATGGCATCAATAAAAATAAGTTAAGTCAATCAAATCACAATTAATATCTCATTCCATGTCATCTTAACATATTTTATAAAGTATAATATTAGGGACAAACTAATGTATAAATATCGTTGCATATGAATGCATAATTTTACCTGCCATGCATGAGGATTTTGATTAGATGTGATCCTATAAAAGTGATTCATATGTAGCTTGCATTTCATCTGTATAAAGAAAAGAAAAGATATTAAAAAAGACATACATCAGTGGTATATGAATAATTAAATGATTAATATCAGAATGGGTTTTGTGGAGATTTTAGAAATTTCACAGATTGATATCATGAGTCAGTTGAAGCTAGACCACCATTGAAAACCTGGAAGCACTGGACGGCCAATTCATCCTAGTATGGGACTCCTCAACTGATTCATGATTTCAATCTGTGAAATTTCTAAAATCTCCACAAAACCCATTCTGATAATAATCATCTGCTCACTAGTGACTGACTTCAAGAGATACTCCTGGAGTTCTAGTGGGAAGCCGTTACCAGTGGAGTTCAACCAGGTCTGTTGTGAGATATCAGCTCACTGATAACAATGGTGTACGGTGGTGCAATTTTGTGGATTAGTTGAAGTTAGACATTAACACCGTCGGATACCGGCCGGCTCAGTGGTCTAGTGTTTAAGCGCCTGGTGTGAGACCGATAGGTCCTGGATTCGAATCCCGCGAGGCGGAATCGTGGACACGCACTGCTGAGGAGTCCTACAATAGGATGAAACAGCCATTCAGTGCTTCCAGGCTCTCCATGATGGTCTAGCTTCAAATGACTCATGATCTCAACTGTTGAAATTACTACAATCTCCACAAAACCCCTTCTGATCCTTAAAATAAGTTTTGTTTTCATATGAATGAAAATTGTTTATTTTGATGTTAAAAAATTCACGAAGTAATTCTCAAGTACACTCTTATGTTTTTAATTAACGAAAATTTATTAAATTCAATGTTTCAATGAAATATAAAATTGTACTTTAAGTGTGTTTTAGTCACAGTTATCTTAAACAAAAGCATTTTTCTTTATGAGTTATTCATATTTATGACTGTTCAATAAATAAAAGGCGACATGAATAGAATACAGTTGAATGAGTTTCCATCCGGTGTCGAATTACTATTGTGATATACCAGTTCTGATGATAGTGATCATAATTTTGATTAGTTCACTTGTTTAGTTCGATGATCATCTCATAATGGATGAATAGACGTATGTTTATGAGTTTGACGACCGATGATCATGTGAATAATTTATGTATGTATGCTCGATTGACTGAAAGTTAACTTTAGAATGTTGATAAAAGTTTTAGTAAAACGTGAGTTACAATATGATGTTCTGAGAATTCTATATTGTATCGAAAATATAATACTGAATAAAGCCATCAATAATAATAAATAAAGTTGTTCGACTTAATCGCTTCTTATTCAATTACGGTTATTCATGAGCCACTAAGTGTTGTAACTAGGGCTCGTTTGAATGGCAAGTATACAGCTAACCAATCACGGCATTTCTGTCACAAACACTTAAAATTATCTAGAATAGATATTAATGAATGATTCGTTCCTTTCCTTTGTAATAGTTGCGGTTACTATACTGACCTATGTATACGAAGATTACTTAAAGAGTTTTCCACATGTTCCATCACTCACTAATGTTAACTAACCCTATTTGTATTGATTTTGTAAAACCTGGTTAGGTAACTGATTAAAAACATGAAAATATCACTGTCAGGTGTAACAATGATCGGTGACTAAAATGTTATTCAAACTCATCGGATAGTCAAATAGAGAAACTGACAGTAAAGTGGGAGTTTTTATTCAAATTCTAGTCTTATTTCAACATCAATCATAATATCTGTTGTTGAGGACCTTAGATCCACAGACCTCACTTGGAAAAGATCCTAATTTTGTAACTTTATTCTGAAATTTTGAGTGTTATGTTTTCGCACCAAGAGACGCTTAGTTGACCTACAGGTTACATTACCCACTTGGAAATCCTTGACTGTCATTGGTTGACGGATTTTTTAGTACATCGTTTTGTGGCTCTTCCAAGGGCGTTTCTATTATTATATAAATAAGCTTGATTTGTGTGTTTAGTGACCTCGTATTTTCTGGGTGCTTGTAGAATACATTCTCTACGCCTCATCAAAACTTCTTGATCTAGTTAGCAGGGTCAAGGACAACGGATCTGTATCTTTGACCTTCGTTCCGTATATCGAGTAAGGTGAACTCGTAATAACATTCAAGCATATCATCTGTATGTTACAGGCTGACAATTATAATAATTTAAATATTATATAAAAACATAAGCCCTCTGTTCTATAATGTGCTTCTCAGGCAGAATTATTTGGTTGAGTTTTGAATACTGAGTCATAAAATTCTCAAACACAAGTATGTTGTTCCTTAACTTTATGATTAAAGTGAACCAGAGAAAAAGGAAGTTCCTTCAGTGAAATGCCGTTTGTATTAGTTTTTGATATTTAAGTTGAGTTGAAATAAGATTACTCAAATTAAATATTCAACTTGCCTTTAAAATTAATTTAAAAAAATATGCATAAAATTACCTGTTTTGATTCAAAATCTGTTAAAGCTCTAGCTAGAATAGTTTGTCCTTTTTTTAATGGACGTACACGATGATAAATTGAACCGAGATTGTCCAATAAACGATCACATAACTTAAGTGCTTTTAAATGATCTGCCAATGTTTCTTCAAAATGCTGTTCTAAGAAATAATAAAACATAATATGTATCTATGTGAAAAAATCCTTACAGATATAATAATAATAATAATAATAATAATAATAATAATAATAATAATGACGTATTGAAAATCGACAGATAATTCCCGTTTAAACATTAAAATTAAAACACGAATTTCAGCGAAGGGATCTCTTTTCAACGAATTTTATTATCAAGCTGTACAATCGTATATATATGTATATACGATTGTACAGCTTGATAATAAATTCGTTGAAAAGAGATCCCTTCGCTGAAATTCGTGTATTGAAAATCGTATAGCATAAGGTCATAATGAGTTTGAAACTTCAATTGTATGTTATAGAAAGGAAGATTGTAAGAACTGTGTTAGATTGTAAAGTGCCGACAATTTTCATAAACAAAGTCGAACGAATAACTCGAACGATATTATATTCATACAAATATTCGACAGTATTTGAACGATTAATGTGACATTAATTATGCACCAAGTATATAGAAGACATTATTTGTGATATTTGAAATAACCTCAGCGATTCCAACGTTTCGTCCAGCAAACGTGTCTAGACTTCTTCAAATCAATAATGAAAATCAAAATGACTAGAGTATATGAATATGGCTAGGTAGGCTTTTAGTGTAGATTTGATTGTCGAATGTTCTTTATTACTTGATTATTTTAGTTTTAATTGCTTTGAAGAATTATAAACAAGATTGCTGGACGAAATGGTGGAATTATTCAGATGTCAATCGCTGAGATTATTCAAAGTGTGACATTTATACATAACACTATCCTTAGTAATTCAATGCAGTTCTACAAATATCTGGACTAATAAAAAAAGGACAATTACTAGATCTAATCATGCTTATCTAAACAAAATGCCATTAAAATGAATTATTTTCAAGTTCAGTAGAAAAACAATTGACTGTAAAGACTTTGTAAAGAAAGTAGCAAATAGTGGATATAAAATAGGGGCCAACAGTGAATAACCGATAGAAGGTATATAAAGTTAAACAGATTATACATTTTAATAGAATCATCATTGTTCAAGTATATTGGAGTCAATAAAAGGACACAAAAAGATTATTTTTGTCTGATCATAAAAGAATGAATTAGACGCCAGTGAAAGTAAACGTTTAATTATTTGATGAATTCACTTTTTGTGTTGTATATGTCGAGGAGACATCTAGACGATTAAAATTATTCAGTTTAGGTTGTTCGAACTTGCCTAATTTATGTATTGGTTCAAGTTAACAAACTATACAACAACTGTTGACAATGAAAAAGAATCTAATGGAATAAACAAAAAAAGGAGGGAATTAGCAATGTTATATAATTACTCTAAAGGTTTTAAATAATTGTCCCCGAGAAGTTGCTCACTTAAGTTTTAGAAAATATTGAACTATTACGTAACATAATTATCCTCAAAAAATTTCAAATAGATGACACTATTTCAAAGCAATTAATCCCTTTGATTATCAGAACTAGTCTAGTTGACCTTTTATTTTTATATATAAATGTTCATAACAAGTGTATTAGGTGTGATCACACTGTTCGAAATATACTGCGCTAATATATCATATAGTTTTCATAGTCTTCGTCTTCTTATTACATTATTGACATTACTTCAGTTTAATAAGTTTTCAGATATATTACTAAATATTCCAACTTTTGTTATATCCCGATAAGAATAATGAATGGTAGTTTTTGGGATCCATTTATAGACCAATACTATGAGTATATTTTTATCGTATAATTGTTATGTAACAAAACTGTTCATATTCATGTCACTCTTATTATAAGTTTTAATTTGACCCATAGACTATTACTATACGATTTACCATTCTTGAGTTATGGCCTGTTTGTTAATTACTATCTTCCTCATTCACAACCACTTTTGGCCAAATATTGTACAAATGTTACTTTCTATTTTATGGTACGTTATGGTCTGTTTGATTGATATATAAACCGGGTATGTTTGAAATAAATTATTCATATTGCAGAGGCTGAGATTGCTGTTATGGGGTTAACTAACTGGGCTAGACAGGAAGCAAGATCAATCGGGACTCTAGACTGATCGCACGTGTTTTATGCGTCACTGGTCAGATCGATAATTCGCTGCTCTCTGATCGGCGGTATCATTACGTTAGACATTAAACAGGGCATATAGGCTCACAAGTTATAACAACTTTATCATTAAAACTGTCCAATTAAATGTATTCTGTTAGTATGTACTTTTTTAGTTAATAAATCAAATTAACATTCAAAGAATTTATGTATTATTGTCAATAGATGTGAACTTACATTTAATTGTGAATTCATTTCATATATTGATAATATTCTTGAAGCATGATTTTCTGTTGCATCTAACCAATCCATAACTGTACGAATGGAATGAATTACCTAAAATGTAATGATCAGAAATAAACATCAAATAAACCATTATATGTAATTTTAACAAAAAAATGTATACTTACCATTTATTATTGTACAATGAGTTTTGAATTTTGTTCGGGGTCAAACTTTGTTCATTGTGTAGTAAACAAGAACACGGGTGGGGACAAACGGATGTATTTAACATAACAATTACAGTCTATCTCAACAAAATTTGAATACCATATAGTAAATCGTCAATTTACAAAATATTCATGCATCAAACCAAACTGGACTGTTTCTGTTGCGAACACCAATCAATTGTCTCCCATTCCATTGTTCATGTATTTTCTTACAAATTCCATTGTGTTCTCGCTCTACCTTTCTTGATCTTCGCCATCTTCTGCTGCCAGACATTACATTCTTTTAACGCACGTTATATACTACTTATATCAATATAAGTAGCTCACACCACAATTGATTTATTGAATACCGCTAATAATTTTTGATAAAATTAGTCAGTTTGTATAGCATGTACAAAACGCTATACAATAAAATAAACTTATTTTATTCTATCTATGCTTTCTTCAGAAACTATATCTAGACTTAAACCTCAATATATTGGATATTAGACAGCAGTATTTATAATGACATATCATAATTCTTCTGAGAATATCCTCTTCTTCAAAATGGAATATAATTCTGAACAAAATGACCCACCGTGAACTTTACACAATCTGGTAGATGTTAATAAACTACAGTAAGACCAAGTAAAAATGACTCACTTACTCAATTCATATATAAGTCTACATTACCAATGTAGGCAGTCTCTAGCATTGTTATACAGTCAAATTACATATAACTGGAATATATTCTAGAGTAGTGACTTCATCATACTATCAAATGTAGTATTTAAAGTAACCCATAAATGTTTCTAAATATTTATGTTTGTAATTATATTAAGATGAAATGAACTTTGAATTTAGTCTCATATTCTTTTATCATTGTTTAATATGTTTAACATTTTAGTAAATAACTTATGAAATCAATAATCACAAATGAAACATTGAAATATACATAGAAAAAGCACATTCAAATTAAACCTGTAATTTGATAAATGATATTTGACACTAACATTGAATATTGAAAATTACCAGAAGTCTAAATTCATTAAAACAAAAAAAACGAGAACAAACATTCATGGATTGTCTGAATAGAAATTTAAAAAAAAAATTAGCTACAGAATAATGAGAATACTTAGATGTGTATTTTTTTTAATTGATTATGGTAGTTTTCAAACCAAACGTTTTTTTATGGCGAGATTCTTATTTATGGTCGAGACAATCAGAAGAGTTTGAGAGATTTCAGGGTCAAAGCGCCAACTTCAGTGCTTAATACTAACGTACGGTCAGTTTCCAGGGGATTTTGTACAAAACGTGATAACTGGAGGGCTGTAACAAATAGAACGATGAGACTATATTTTGTGGACAAATGAATCAGGTATAACTTAACAGGTCTCGGATTTTGGAGCGGAAGCCTTCCATCCATTTGGCTAAATAGATTTCTGACATCATAGCTGATATAACTCCTAACTAAGGCAAATTATGACAGTTATTGCGAACTGGATAATAAAAGCACCGGTAACACTAGCTGCAGCCAGGTACTACAATATAAAACGGATGATTGGAGAGCGAATAGACTCCTACATAGGCTTGGTTATGTGCATCATATCGTTATCCACAAGTGGTATTTTGTGTACTCAATAACCGGAGTTCACGCAAGCAATATTGAAACTATGTAGTCGAGGCTGAAAGAGTTTTTGAAACTTTATCTTGGATCCAGAGGCCGACTATTCTGTAGCCCTATAGATGATTGCCTCTACTGCATGCATTAAGATTTTAGAACCTCTGAACCTCTTTCTAACCTTGACAAGTTTTTGAATCACGTATAAGAAGTGTATCCACTTTATTTCTTTGGTTTTGTATAATATATTTTTACACATTATTTAGTGTTGGCTGATTGACTAATATTTATCATGGTCACTTATAATTCGTTCAAAGGTCATCCATAAATTATAGTCTCGCTGTTTTTATTTGATATCTACCAGTATTTGAATGTTCTACATTTTTTCAATAGACAGGTTTGACTTTGTTTATGAAAAAATACATCTTAATAAACTATACTGCTTATTAATTTACAGTAAATAACAAAGTTATCCTTTGAGAGGAAATCTTTTCAATCTCTGTTGACTAGGTTTAAGGTTTGATTTGTTTAATGCTTAACAAGATCGTACAAACGCACAATACAGATACAAAATTGTTTTGTTAGTAATATCGTACGATTAGATTAAAAACAATATGGGAATACTGTTAACTAATTAGAACATACAAACAAGAAAAATATATATGTGCAAAACTAATAATAATTAGTAATTAGCATTGTTATGAAGTTGTACAACAAAACACTTCAATACAAACTTGATTTCATTTAACGTCTTCTACATAAAATAACTTTTGTTATTTATTTACACACATCTTTAAGCTATTCTAATATCACAGATTGAAATCATGAGTCAATTGAAGCTAGATCACCATGGAAAACCTGGAAGCACTGAACGGCTGTTTCATCCTAGTATGGAAATCCTCAGCGGTGCTAATCCACAATCCCCCCACGCCGCGAGATTCGAACACAGGACATATCGGTCTCGTACGCAAGCGCCTAACCATTAGACCACTCAGCCGGCCAGTATCCAACAATGTTAATGTCTAACTTCAACTAATCAACGAAATTGTACAACCGTACACCATTGTCTTCAGTGAGTTAATATCTCACAACAGACCTGGTTGAACTCCACTGGTAACGACTTCTCACTAGAACTCCAAGAGATGCCTTTTGAAGTCAGTCATTAGTGAGCAGATGATAGGTCCTGGGTTAGAATCTCGCTGGATGCGGGATCGTGGATGCGCACTGCTGAGGAGTCCCATACTAGGACGAAACGGCCGTCCAGTGCTTTCAGATTTTCCATGGTGGTCTGGCTTCAAGTGACTCATGATTTCAACTAGTAAAATTTCTAAAATCTCCACAAACCCCTTCTGATATTCTAATATCGTTTACAAGATGATCAATTTACGGTGAATGAAATTAAATGTTATGGAATCTCCAATTGACTCATGATTTCAACCAATGATATAAACTCTGTTACATTTTGATGACTTAAATAACACATGGATTATATTGTACTGTGAAGGGTTTAATAACAAAATGTATTATCACTTCTAAAGTAGGCGCTTTATGAAATGCATATATATTTTATGAATGACAGCATACATTAAATCTAGCATATTAATGATTCGGATACTAAAACGAACTAGTAAAAAAACAATAGATATAATTTCAACTTGTAAGAAGAAAATCAATAAGATAGTGAGATAATTTCGCATCTGGTGTCGTAACCGCAACTTGTTCTGTTACAGTTAAAAACAGCTGAGCAGATATATGTAAATTAGAGATAATAGTTCTAACATTTATGTAAGTGTTTTTGCAATAATTATGGCTTTTTAGAAATTATGTGTATGTGTGTGATGTAGATGATTCGTGTCAGTTTGTTAAAATGGATAGAATTTTAATTAACAGTGAAAATATTCAGCAGAAAACTAATTAGTTGATACATGAAAGAATTGGTTACATCTTCACAAAACAAGGGATGAATATAATTACAACTGTATAATGGGTGTTGTTCATAAGAAAGTGAAAAAGAGGTTAAATATTTCGAATAAATATTGTTTCGTCAGATGAGATACGATCTTGTGATTTCATAACAAACTTATAAGATAAGTTTTTGGAGTTGAGATTTTAGTAATTTCAATTGTTGAGATCATGAGTCAATCCCGCGAGGCCGGGATCATAGATGTGCACCACTGAGGAGTCCCACGATGGGATAAAACGGTCATCCAGATTTCCCATGATGGTCTAATTTCAATTGACTCATGATCTCAACAATTGAAATTGTTGAATTCCCCTAGTTTATATCACATATATGATCTTAGTTAAATAACTATTGAAAGTTAAACACTCATTGCAAAACTTTAGATTATAATCTCGAGGCCTAGTAAAATTGTGATTATTTAATGCTTTATAGTTTCTAATAAATAATTAAACAAAGACCCACTCGTAATGTAAACTATGAGAGTTAAAACACTTGAAGTAAAACTGTAAAGATCGATAACTCATTATTGTTTATACCATTACACTTTATACCAATGTTACATCTTAATTTAAATGATTTATATATATATATATATAATGAGGGTATAGTTCCGATGTAAGGCATATAAATCAAAATATCACATCTAGGTAATCAAAAGTGTAATAATCATTACTTATGTCTATTAGTATATGGAGCTCTCTCGTATGTTTGAACATTTTTGTATGTTGTGCTTTTTTCACAAAAAAATTCAAGAGATTTCTGTGGCATAATTAACTTCATAGTTCTTTATGTGATTTATGTATATTGTATGAATACCAATGTGTTTACTAAACACAATGAAATCTAACTCTCTACACTATGTAATATATATATATATAATGTAATGTATATAATACAAACATTATAAATTTTAAAAGTCATTCATTATTCCCACATTTAAGAACTTAAAAGATATTCGAATAATTCCATCAAGAAAACTAAAAGAAGAATAATTATGAATTCATATGACTCTTATTCATTTAATATTAATAAAGATAGTTTATTCTATTTAATCCAATTCTTATGACATTAATTTTCTCTCTTCTTTTTTTCTTTTCTTTCTCCTCTTTTCTTTTTTTTTGTTGGTATTCACAGTTAATAAAATTAACATTTAAACATTCATAATATAAAACTATTCAATTTTAAGGTCATATTCATGTACAATATACAATATAACACATTATATACTTGTTTAAATGTATCATTTTTATAAATAAATGGCTTAATCATTTTAAAGTGTAATAATAAAGGGGTAATATGAATTCAAGATTTTTTTTAGTGAATTCTATGTCACAAAAAAAAGAAGATTGTTGAAGAATACAATACATAGAATTTTTTTAAAAAAAAAATTATTGAAACATTTAAAGTTCCAATGATTATTATATCTAAGTGTTAAATGTTCAATATATATGTGAATAAACTTTTAAGAGAAATATCTTATGTGAAAAGAAAGTTTGTTTTATTTATTTAATGGTCAGTTGTTGTTTTTGTTTGTTTTTCTATTGTCCTTAAATGATACAATTTTTAATTGATTAGCACAAATATGATAGTTACATTGGTGAAAATGAATTCATAAGAGATAAAAATATATGATAATAGAATAAATGAAATGTGTTTAGTAATGAAATATAAGACTTATATTTTGTCTATTTTAGAACTCATTAAATGGATTTACTTATATCTAAGTGTTACTGTTTATATGAGTATTCATTCTCAATAATTTACATATTTGAATGCTTAACAAGTTATTCATTGAATTGATAAGACTAAATAGACAGAAGTTTATGCAATGGATATGATGGTTAATTATCATATGGGATATATTGTACATTCTGAATTCCGTTACAAGTCACATTCTATCTACTGTATATAAATATGTAACAATATGAATGTATCAAAGCGATTCACACAGTGTTCATATGACAATTACAATAGATTAAACTTCAGTCAAAAACAATAACAAAGAGATCATTTAAAATATTATTGAATTCTGTGTCTAATAAAGAAAGGACTAGATAATGAATAGATTATAGGACACCATGATTTATTTACCTGTATATCATCTTTTGTTACTATTCTAAACTTAGTTTATTCCTATGGATTAGTTACTAAATGTTTCAAATACTGATTGAATAACTTTTTGATTACTAGTTATTGTACATTGGTGATATT